TGTTCCTCTAGTTTAGGTCTTGAATGCAAATGTAGTTCAATGTAAACACCAAAACGTCATTCTTTCATATTTGTAAAATCACTTTATTTCTGAAGAATCCAGTCATGAGATATATATATATATATAACATAGATATCAATAAATGTCTGAGGCCAAACAGTGATTGTCCTAATGCAACTCTGTGATCAAGCTATCAGAAATATCTCAACCACTAACGATTAGGCTTACTGAAATGATATAAAAGCACTTTCATTTGAGGAAAAACAACATATTCAGTAGTGTATATGGCCACAAGAGAAAACAAACAGTTTTGGTAATTGACATTGTAATCAGCCAAGCTTTACCAGAGCATATAAATATAGTTACAAATCATATACAGACTAAATCAGGAAGCCTGTCATCACTAGAACAAATACCTGTTAACAGATCTTCTAGTGCATGCAGTGATAAGTACTAGGCTTGTGTTTTCTTCTCTCTGAAGTTCAACTGTAGGGTCAGAAGAGAGAAGAGGGTGGGTTGACCATTCAAAGACATCACTTTTCATTCAGGACACTTTGACTGTTTTTGATTCATATAATTCCATTCAGCTCTATGAGTTCTGAAGAATGATGGTTGATCAAGCAAAGTCAATGACAAAGCAAAGCCTGAACAAGAGAGCTAATATTTCCTCTTGCTCAACATCAACCTTCCTGGCATAGCAACAGTGAAAACACTGCAGATAGGGACAGGGCTGTGGACACAAGGATATGATTGTTCAGTTTGATCAATGTATGCATTGAGAAATCATCGGATAAATGTAGGGTTGGGAGGAAAATTTCACAACCTTGCAATCTTTGCCAGTACTCAATATCTCTGATTAAATAGTATAGCAGGAGACTCTTGTCTCAGGAAATATTTGCTTAATGACTCAGTAATTGGAGTGCAAGATGCCAGCCATAGGTCAGTTGTCATTAGGAATAACCAGTCGTTTAAGTGCATGTAAATGTGTTGGGATCAGTAACGTCTCCCTCTATATCAGACAGCCATCAACAGCCAGTGATAAGTGGCATGACCTGCAGGCAAATGCAAAACACACAGAGACGTGATATGCACTCATACAGGAGACCTGGCCTATTATAGAGTGAGAAAAATTTTAAAGAACAACAAGGTGTTTCACAGCAAAGGTTTGAAAGTAGTGTTCAGTGATACAGTATAATACCGTGGGTAAGGGGGGGTAAAGGGAGGTATTCTCCCAGAATATTTCACAGAAACATCCTAAACTCAGCCTTCTTTTGCTGAGTAGGTAGTAGAGTATTGTGGTTCGGGGGAGTCGTGGGTGACTGTGTGTGGGTAAGGGCGGTGAGAGAGACCTGAGGGGTCAGATGGCCATCGAGTCAAGTGAGATCAAGGTCAAAGGTCAAGATAGGGGGTCCTCCCTTCTCATTCCCAATCTCCCTCCCGCCATCCATCCATCCACTGCTAGTTTATGAGTGCCATGATGCTCTCTGGCTGTTCCCCGCAGATCCTGGAGAAGAACTCGAGTGCCAGACGCACGTGGACAGGCACAAAGATGTAGGAGGTGTAGATGGCCATGGCGGAAAAGAGGACAGAGTTGAAGATGATCTGCTCCCAGGGCTCAAGCACATATATGCCTGTGATGAGCAGATACTGGTAGTACAGCCAGCTCAGGTACTCCTTCAGGTATTTAAAGTCCGTCCACATGCTACTCCAGTGGTCAGGGAGAGGATGGGAGAGGGAGGGGCAGAGAAAGGAACAGAGAGAGAGAAAGATAAAAGAGAGGGAAGGAGGAGAGGAGTGATAGGAAGATAGGAGAGAGAGAAAAAGAAAGAGAGAGATAAAGGGAGGGAGAAAGAGAGACAGGAGGAGGAAGGCAGTGATAATGGCAGCAGGGGACACATAATGGGCATGAACACACAAACAAACACAAACACACAAGACAGACAACACAACATCAATCATATGGAAAGATATACAGTTAGTCGCCTCACCTGCACTACCTGATAGAATTACCCCTATTTTCCCAGGAGGCAAAACCAATTGCAAAAGGGAAAACACTTAGTAGGTGAAAGATGAGCTTACCGTGTGTGTGTGTGTGTGTTTTGTGGGGAAAACTAAGTAGTTCAGTGAAATAACCTCACATTTTTGTCATAGTCTCATTATAAACCATAGTCTTCATCTTTCAATGCACCTGCTACTATGTATTTACCCGTGTCTTACATACCTACAATATCCTAGGGGGATGTAAGAATAGAAAATGGTATTAGAAAACACATTACATGTGGGTCTGTGTTTATTACTGAGACGGTCCAGGGTCAGTCACAGCCCATGGCCCCTCAGGGAACAGACATTTACTCTACTTCCATACAGGGTAGTTGACAAAGTAGCTAAAGGCACAATAGGAAAGCCTCTGTCTCACAGAGTCAGTGCCTCAGTGGGTGTTGACAGGTCTCAGGTAAACTCACCTGACACCAGTGCACACTTCTTCACCAGAGTAATAGCCTACTCATTAATAAACGGTTATGGACCAAATAGATAAAAACACACTGTGGCATGACAATAAATAAACCTAAAATATAATCCATGCATGTGTGCTTGTTTTCCAGGTCCTATCCTGTTACACCCCTCTGGTAAATAATTGTGGCTAAACTAATGCCCTAGAGACATTACGTAACAATTGAATAGGCCTTCTCACATTAATGTAGTCTACATGCTAGCCTACATGCTTATATGACACAATAATCCTCTGTAATAATCTGTAGGCCAACAAAAAACTAAAAGGATCATGTAAAAGTGAGCTCACCTCTCCCCCTGATAATGTGTCGCTGTCCGCTCTCCCCCGGTTCTGCTGGCTAAACTTTCATGCAGGACGCAAGAGAGAATGGCCTGTGTCCCACTACTGCTGTGTGAACAGCACCACCAGTTCACCAACATATCCTACATGTAGCAGGTCATACAGTCTTTACACCACACCCACTACTCTTTACACTCACCTGGGGTTCACGTGGAGTTGGGTATGGGTTTTTATGGACAGAGCGTTCGGTGCATGTGTGTCTTCGAACTCTATAAAAGAACATCTAAATAAGGCATGATTCTTCACAAATAGGGCTAATCCATAGTTGTTTAGTCAGTGGAATAGTCATCAAAACTCTGTCCTGCTTTATTGGATAGGAGACGCCTGACGCGTGTCTGCGCAACCTTTGTATGGCATCCTCATAGAGATAGAGGACTCTAGTGGCCAAAAGCCAATTTTAGCATGGGCAGCGCCGTTTTGAAGTAATCAACTGAGAGGGACTTCCTATGGGTTAAGAAAGGATCACATAATGAATTATGCTTGTGAGCAAACATTCCATAACTGCAGGTGGCAGTAAATCACCAACCTTGGCTTTCTACCTGTTCAAACAACACTCTCCAGGTGGCAGTATGCACCCTTCCAGTTTGTTTGCCAGCTCATAGAAGTAGTAGAAGAAAACTGACTACTTCAAAATGGAGATGGCCTCAATAGCGCTGCCTATGCGCACAGACGCCATAATGGGACAGATACAAAGAAGAGTCCTCTATAATTCTCTACAGGCATCCCCCCTCTACTTGCCACACAGGGAATCAAAATCATAATCTCCACTTCCTGCAAGTGGACTATGCACTGAATTATCCAAAAACATAATTCACCCATAACAGCGCAATGCGCACTCTGTAACTGACAGGGGACGCAAGAAGTCATAGTGTTGCTACAGAACTGGCAAAATAACTGACATTGCTCCAAAATGTTGACTGATTGGATAGCCTATTTAGCCGATAGCCGTTATAAATCAAATGGAGAGGATATATTTTCAGCACATTGGAATCCTTTCTTTTACATCCCAGTACTCTCTTTCATAGTCTATGTCTTTGGGAATAAAATGAGTTTTTACAACTTCTCAGCTGCATACATTATTGATGTGTAAAGAAAGGGCTGAGCCGCTCTGTCCAGTTGACTGAACAGACAGTCTCCAAGCATATGGACTCTGCACCGGGTGGAAGTCTGGAAGCCAGACATGTCACTGTCTGGGACCCTGAACAGTTGAACAGTCAGGTAGCCCACTGCTCTTTCAATAGTATTCTTGGAAGGAGAGTGAAAAGTGGACATACCGGGTCAGAAAAAAGGGATGATAAAATGAGGTGTGGGTGATAAGAACAGGCTTTGACGGAGAGGAAGGAGAGAGCATATACTGTAGGTGTGTGGAGGGGAGGGGGGTGAGAAAAGGGGGTCAGGGGGAGAGAGTAGGAGGGAAGGTAGAGAACCCCCTGCTCTACCTTATTGTCCTCCTTTGCCTCAAAGGGACCTAAAGTTACTTTCCCAAGGATCTGGTTACCCCTCACAACCTTTTTAACTTCCCAAAAAACAAGCTCCCGCCTCCTCTCTCTTCAAACAAGACTGAAGTGGCACATAACACACCTCTCTCTCTCCCCTAATATATCTAAGTCCCCAAGATTACATTTCCTCTGAAGTACTCAACCTCCCCCTGCACCTCTCCCCTTCAGCCCCTACTATAAATCATAAAATCTACCCAGCAACAATAGAGCGGCTTGCATTGGGGAACAGTCTAATAGTAGGGGACATGTACCCACTGAGTCCTATTAAATTAAATTCTGAAGTTTAGCGAACTAATTTTAGTTTGATGATGGGGAACCAATTTCTCAAGCCAGTGGCTCTGCATGTGAGTGTGTTTGGTTTTGTTAGGTAGAGAATCTAGTTGCCAGTCTGCAGCCTATTACAAGCATAATCATACCCAATCCAGATTGCATACAGGTATACCTTGGGATATCTACACATAGAACTATCTACTCATAGAAGGTGCCCATGCATTCCCAATTGGTACATTCTACCACTTCACCATGTGGCCAGTCTCTCCTTTGAAGTGTTAGGTACTATATTGAGAGTGATGTCCATGCTTATGGTTCAGTAACATCTTCTCAAGTTCCTTCTAATGGATGCTGTGTGTCTCAGAATGAAAAGGTCATCGTAACCAGATTATATTTTATTTGATGTACTCGAACAGCGCTCAACTTCCACATCACCACTGCCTCTAATTTGGAGACAGGGAAGGGTCAAAAAGGGCAGGGTCCCATCAATAACTCAGCAACCTCAGAAGTGACCAGTCTGCAGCATTCTGAGTGGCTGCTTTTGGGAGGGAGAGTGTAAGCAATGGTAGCTGACAACGTGTGGCATTGCCTTTCTTATTGGTATAACTTCCATTTGTCTAGTCAAACATCATGTTGATGTTAGTAAGACCCTGATTGGTCTGAACAGTCATTATGTGGATGTAAGCAGGCCGGTGATTGGTCTATTCGGTCAGCATGTCGGCTCCCTCTCCCCCGGTGGCGTCTGTTAGGCTGAGGTCCTCCAGCATCTCCATCAGAGAGATCCGAGGTGCGCCCTCGTCATCCGTGTCACTCTCCACTGGGATCTTAGACGCATCTGTAATATAAAACAATACAATTTTATCATGAGGCTACAGCTAAAATGGATCAACAGAAAGCTGTGTGTGACAATTGAGGAAAACATCCAGGTTCTTGAACTATAAAGAGAAGCAGAAAGCTGTGGTCCCACTCACCTCTGAAGATGTTGACGTTCTTTCTCAGGGCTTCGTCTTCCTCCAGGTCCTCTAGGAAGTCCTGGTATTGTCTGAAACAGGAAGAGAGGAGAACAATAAATAAATCACTGCCAATGTTGTAGAGACACCTTTCACAACAAAGTCATCACTTGGATATAATGCATAGTTCTCTCCTCCCTCTCTGCTTCTCCCCCTCTACATTCCTCCTCTCATCAGCTCCTCCTCTCCTCCTTACCGCTCGTCTTCAGGCGCCATGCCCTCTCTATCTTTGTCCATCTCCTTCAGCTTCCAGTTCCTGCGCTTCACCCTCTTGCTGCGGTTGTAGCTCTTCTTGATCAGCACCTGCAAGTCCACAACAAACATGTTAAAATGGCTTCAATACAGGCATTGACTTTGTTTTGTTATTATGTATTCTGTCCTTTGCAGTCATGTACTGACAGGTATGCAGCTGAGCTCTCATTTAAAAATTAAGTGAATAGTATTTGTTCAGGCGGACAATTTTTCCATTAGAGGTTTGACGTTTCAACTCAATGCAGCAAACATAAAATCAAACCAATACCACAATGTCCACCAGGGGGCAATGTGGTATTGTACTATAGTCAGTACAGCATAGTACATTGTAAAAGGTTGTTGTTTTGGAGCAGTGTTCTCCAACCTCTTCTAGCATGAGAGCTACTTTTAAAAAATATAACTTTGCGAGCTACAATTTATTTTATCGCTTTCTAATAGGCACATTGTTCTCTTCTCGTCTACCTCGTCCCAGGGTCCTTGGTGTACAAGATGTGTTTTCTGTCAATATACCTGGTAAAATAATGGTTGATAAACAGTATTTGGCATGACAGGGCCCATAAAAATATATTTTGTATTTTCCAGAATTCTGTTTTATTTTTCCTGGTTTTGGATATTTGTTTTATGTTTTCTACTCTCAATATTACAAATATTCATAGAGAAACAAAGAAAATTGATGTTCTGAGTCCATATCCATGCTTAAATCACATCAGAAGACCATTTTTTAGGTCTAGAAAAAGTGTGTAATTCCCCTTTAATTGCACATCTAGCAAGAGTGGAATGTGTTGGTCTAGCGATGTTTCTGCTGATAGGCCTACTGCTGAAGCACATGCCATGGCAGTTTGAAAAACAATGGCCACCCAATTGAAACAAATAATCATGATTTATAGTTCTGTCAGGTAAGCCTACTTTGAGGTTAACATTTGTAAGCCTACTTTGAGGTTAGCATTTGTAAGCCTACTTTGAGGTTAACATTTAATAGAGAAGGTTTTTGGGGGAAGTCTGTCCACTCTACTGTATTAAAATGTGCACAATTACATTATCATGTGGGGTTGAACCTCAAACACACAAACCAATTGAATAAAAAAAAAAAACGTTATCATTAGCATCGCTAACTGGCTACATACGGAGTAATAGACAAATGCGCGCACCAAACACACAGACGGGGCAACATTGCTGGAAATTAATTGGCAGATATTGTGTTAACCTTAGGCTTTTTAAGCCAATAATGGCTAACCAGGGGTCAGAAAATGTCAATGTGACTTTGATTGGAGTTTTATGTTAATGACCGTTTGTGATGGAAAAATTAATGTACTTTCAGAATTGATTGGCAGCTACTCATACGTGGGCTGCGAGCTACTGGTAGATCTACCTGTTGGAGACCCCTGTTGTAAAGGATATATGAGTGTGCACACAGTAGTATGTACTGGTTCTTACCACGTCAGGAATATGACTAGGATTCATCTTGTTCAGAAACTCATCATTAACGTTGGAATTGGCAAAGTCAAAGCTAGAGGGAAACAAAAGTGAAACAACTAAATATTTTCTCAAACTTCACAAGCAAAAGAGTAAGATATTGTTTTGATTCTCTTATACAGCAAGAAATTACATGAACATTTAAGAGTTGTGTAGCTGTATAGCAGCCCATGACAGTCACCTACCCCTGCACCATGTCTCCTATGTTGAGCAGGTGGCCCAGGTGGGTGCGACAGTGGTACTGCTGAGCTGTGTCCATCTCTGATGTCTTCTGCACCCAAACCTCAGCCAGGGTGTGCTGGAAACAAACAAATCAGAACACACACACAAGATTTAGCCTAGCACCACCATTACCAAGGATGTTTAGTGTTCCAACACACTTAGATGGGGGAGGGGACGTTATCGTACCATAGCAAACCCATTTCCTGTTCCATTTTACACAAACACTTCCATGCATTGTGGACTGCAGGCCGCCCAACAACCTGCCCGCTTGACCCCATCCCCTCCTCCCTTCTCCAGACCATCTCCGGTGACCTTCTCCCCTACCTCACCTCGCTGATCAACTCATCCTTGACCGCTGGCCATGTCCCTTCCGTCTTCAAGAGAGCGAGAGTTGCTCCCCTCCTCAAAAAACCAACACTCGACCCCACTGATGTCAACAACTACAGACCAGTATCCCTTCTTTCTTTTCTTTCCAAAACTATTGAGCGTGCCGTCTTTAGCCAACTCTCTTGCTATCTCTCTCAGAATGACCTTCTTGATCCAAACCAATCAGGTTTCAGGACTGGTCATTCAACTGAGACTGCTCTTCTCTGTGTCACGGAGACTCTCCGCACTGCTAAAGCTAACTCTCTCTCCTCTGCTCTTGTCCTTCTAGACCTGTCTGCTGCCTTCGATACTGTGAACCATCAGATCCTCCTCTCCACCCTCTCCGAGATGGGCATCTCCGGCGCGGCTCACTCCTGGATTGCGTCCTACCTGACCGGTCGCTCCTACCAAGTGGCGTGGCGGGAAGCTGTCTCCGCACCACGTGCTCTCACCACTGGTGTCCCCCAGGGATCGGTTCTGGGCCCTCTCCTTTTCTCCCTATACACCAAGTCACTTGGCTCTGTCATATCCTCACATGGTCTCTCCTATCATTGCTACGCTGACGATACACAACTAATCTTCTCCTTTCCCCCTTCTGATAACCAGGTGGCGAATCGCATCTCTGCATGTCTGGCAGACATATCAGTATGGATGACGGATCACCACCTCAAGCTGAACCCTGGCAAGACGGAGCTGCTCTTCCTCCCGGGGAAGGACTGCCCGTTCCATGATCTCGCCATCACGGTTGACAACTCCGCTGTGTCCTCCTCCCAGAGTGCGAAGAGCCTAGGCGTGACCCTGGACAACACCCTGTCGTTCTCCGCCAACATCAAGGCGGTGACCCGCTCCTGCAGGTTCATGCTCTACAACATTCGGAGAGTGCGACCCTGCCTTACACAGGAAGCGGCGCAGGTCCTGGTCCAGGCACTTGTCATCTCCCGTCTGGACTACTGCAACTCGCTGTTGGCTGGGCTCCCTGCCTGTGCCATTAAACCCCTACAACTCATCCAGAATGCCGCAGCCCGTCTGGTGTTCAACCTTCCCAAGTTCTCTCACGTCACCCCCCTCCTCCGCACACTCCACTGGCTTCCAGTTGAAGCTCGCATCCGCTACAAGACCATGGTGCTTGCCTATGGAGCAGTGAGGGGAACGGCACCTCTGTACCTTCAGGCTCTGATCAGTCCCTACACCCAAACGAGGACATTGCGTTCATCCACCTCTGGCCTGCTGGCTCCCCTTCCTCTGCGGAAGCACAGCTCCCGCTCAGCCCAGTCAAAACTGTTCGCTGCTCTGGCACCCCAATGGTGGAACAAGCTCCCTCACGATGCCAGGACAGCGGAGTCACTCACCACCTTCCGGAGACATTTGAAACCCCACCTCTTTAAGGAATACCTGGGATAGGATAAAGTATTCCTTCTAACCCCCCCCCCCCCCCCCCCCAAATTGTAAAGTGGTTATCCCACTGGCTATAGGGTGAACGCACCAATTTGTGAGTCGCTCTGGCTAAGAGCGTCTGCTAAATGACGTTAATGTGCCCTTGAGCAAGGCACTTAACCCTAATTGCTCCTGTAAGTCGCTCTGGTTAAGAGCGTCTGCTAAATGACTAAAATGTAAATGTAATGTAAATGGGTTCTCTAATCTGATGTGCTGCTTCAGGAATAATGTAATGTTTCACTATTGACATTTCTTCCAAGAAAATATAAATATTCCCCATAATTCAATCTGATCAACAGCACTTTCATTAAAGCCACAAACACACCAAAGCCCCGCAGTCAAGCTGTCTCAACCCAAACAATTTGTCTCGCCAACACACACACTAGAACATGTTTTTCTCACATGGAGTGAGGGAAGTTGCACGCATGAATACACACATCTAAAGAAACAGACTAGCAGCATTTATCTTGAAATTGAGGCGTTCTTACTAAATGGGGCACACTTCTGCCCAATTCCAAATAACCGGCCATTTCCCTCAGAACTCCTACCTTATTGGACCTTATGCCTGCTCCCGCCCCCAGCTTCTGGTTTCTGATGACATCAGTATCCATGACGATGAACTCCTCCAGTTGCCGTGGGCTAACGAGGCTGTTGAAGGGGTTGCGCCAGTATGTGCCCCCATCCACCTCAGCGACTGTTGGGTCCGACAGGAGAAATAGAATTACATGTTTATCTCTATGGACAGTCCAGAGTTTCAATTTCGACTGCTCAAAACACCAATAATTTCCTACACTCACATACACATGCTTGTGTCCGCACGCAAGATAAATAGATTGATTTGAACTTCACTCCCTCCTGCAGTCGAGTGATTTGGCTAGCATGGATCATTGTTCTGCCCAGAGGCTGGGGTGGAGACTGGCGGTTCTGGAGCAAAAATAGCCTTTCTTTGAACACTAATTAAAAACATGTGCCCTGCCTTTCAAAATATCAGAATTAAACACAGAGGGAATTTTTTACACGCACAGCACAGGCAGTAGTGACAACAAATGAGTGTGTGTGTGTGCCATATATGGAATGCCCTGATTAGACACAGAGGGAAGCTGTTGAGAGTGAGAGGATGGTGATGAGCATGTGGTGAACAGACGCACTGTAAACGATACTGGGTTCAGTTTGGTACAAAAGACTTAAATCAAGTGGAATATAATCACATTCCAATAGTCTATCAAAAACTGATGCTAAAAATATGGAGCAGATGGTAAACTTTTGATGCTTTATATCAAGACACGCACACAAGCACAAACTCTTGCACACACACATCCAATCACCTTTAAACGTTGACTTGTCAACACATCAACACCAATACATCAATCAATCAATGAAGCAAAGCATATCTGGAAAAGCAATTTTTCAGTAGCCAGAAAATCATGTGTTGAAACAGCCCCTTTCCCCTGGCAGCTAGGGGCCGACAGTAAAGGTGGTGCTGGTGTGTACTGTACTCACTCTGCAGGGTGTTGGGATCGATGAGGTGGATGGTGCTGGTGACTCGGGCACACACACACACCTGGCCCATGTTTCCCAGGCTCTGAGCCAGACGCGGCGACAGACACACCACGTTGTCCTGGGCAATGAGACAAAACATACCAGGGGTCAGACTGAGGTCAGGTTAGAGAGAACTTTGGAACCTCCTCCCAATGCCAACCTCCCCACCGGATTATTCCCCAGAGAAACCCACAGCCAGCAAGCCAGCTGTAGTACAGGAGAGATTAACATTAAACTCTGGATTAGGCTACACCTTCATGAACAATTATCCTCTGAATAACAGAGGCTGTCATTGCCAGTTTGGTTATACAAGGGGTCAGCTAGGTTCTCTTTGTTTCATCAGCATGATTACAATTTGTTTCACAATGCAAAAGAAAATAAGATGTTGATTAGGAATGCGTTTCATTAATCTTGAAAATAATTAGTCATCCGTTTACTTAATGAGCCAGTGCTGCAATGCTTCATTCAGTCATTGGATAGAAATGCACAAAAACACATGTGGGTAGAATTGGATATGAAAATAATTAACTCTTCACATGTATGGTCAGAAGCCAAGCATCAATGCGTATGTACTCAGTCTACATGTTAGAACCTATGAGTAGATTAATCTACTACATGAATCCAACAGAAGAGCATTGACAAGAAACATTCACTCAACAAAAAAGCTTGAGTAAAGATTCCTGACCTAGACACACCCAGATTGATTCGAATTTAGTTTTCATTTGACGGTTCAAAAGCATATTTTAAAACAACACAGTTCTATCCAATGGAAGCTGTGTGTGTTATGATAAGAATGGGGAATCTGTTTAGGTCTGCCCTGGCCTGTTTGGACCTGAGCATTTGAGTATAGGTGCGCTCTGTTCACCTATAAAAATCAATTTTCAGCACCTTAAAATATATGTAGAGCATTTGACCTTCAGTATTTTTGAGGAAGATGCTGTATACCTTGCAAACAGGAACGATCTCAATGGAGTAGGTGCTCTTATAGTTGAATGTGTTTGAGTGGATGTCGTGGGAGATGAGGCGCTGGGAGGTCTTCGACCTAAACAAGACAGAGTGACACAAAGAAACCATAAAGACACTACAAGAATATATCTTGACAGAGAGAAAATAAGCAACATTCTCAATGCTAAGCTAAATATATATATATATATATATATATATACACACACACAAATACACACACAGTGAGGGAAAAAAGTATTTGATCCCCCTGCTGATTTTTTACGTTTGCCCACTGATAGGTTTATTTGAACAGTGAGAGACAGAATAACAACAAAGAAATCCAGAAAAACGCATGTCAAAAATGTTATAAATTGATTTGATTTTAATGAGGGAGATAAGTATTTGACCCCTCTGCAAAACATGACTTAGTACTTGGTGGCAAAACCCTTGTTGGCAATCACAGAGGTCAGACATTTTGTAGTTGGCCACCAGGTTTACACACATCTCAGGAGGGATTTTGTCCCACTCCTCTTTGCAAATCTTCTCCAAGTCATTAAGGTCGAGGCTGACGTTTGGCAACTCGAACCTTCAGCTCCCTCCACAGATTTTCTATGGGATTAAGGTCTGGAGACTGGCTAGGCCACTCCAGGACATTAATGTGCTTCTTCTTGAGCCACTCCTTTGTTGCCTTGGCCGTGTGATTTGGGTCATTGTCATGCTGGAATACCCATCCACGACCCATTTTCAATGACCTGGCTAAGGGAAGGAGGTTCTCACCCAAGATTTGACAGTACATGGCCCCGTCCATCGTCCCTTTGATGCAGTGAAGTTGTCCTGTCCCCTTAGCAGAAAAACACCCCCAAAGCATATTGTTTCCACCTCCATGTTTGACGGTGGGGATGGTGTTCTTGGGGTCATAGACAGCATTCCTCCTCCTCCAAACACAGCGAGTTGAGTTGATGCCAAAGAGCTCCATTTTGGTCTCATCTGACCACAACACTTTCACCCAGTTCTCCTCTGAATCATTCAGATGTTCAATGGCAAACTTCAGACGGGCATGTATATGTGCTTTCTTGAGCAGGGGGACCTTGCGGGCGCTGCAGGATTTCAGTCCTTCAAGGCGTAGTGTGTTACCAATTGTTTTCTTGGCGACTATGGTCCCAGCTGCCTTGAGATCATTGACAAGATCCTCCCGTGTAGTTCTGGGCTGATTCCTCACCGTTCTCATGATCATTGCAACTCCAGGAGGTGAGATCTTGCATGGAGCCCCAGGCCGAGGGAGATTGACAGGTCTTTTGTGTTTCTTCCATTTGCGAATAACCGCACCAACTGTTGTCACCTTCTCACCAAGCTGCTTGGCGATGGTCTTGTAGCCCATTCCAGCCTTGTGTAGGTCTACAATCTTGTCCCTGACATCCTTGGAGAGCTCTTTGGTCTTGGCCATGGTGGAGAGTTTGGAATCTGATTGATTGCTTCTGTGGACAGGTGTCTTTTATACAGGTAACAAACTGAGATTAGGAGCACTCCCTTTAAGAGTGTGCTCCTAATCTCAGCTCGTTACCTGTATAAAAGACACCTGGGAGCCAGAACGCTTTCTGATTGAGAGAGGGTCAAATACTTATTTCCCTCATTAAAATGCTAATCAATTTATAACATTTTTGACATGCGTTTTTCTGGATTTTTTTGTTGTTATTCTGTCTCTCACTGTTCAAATAAACCTACCATTAAAATTATAGACTGATCATTTCTTTGTCAGTGGGCAAACGTACAAAATCAGCAGGGGATCAAATACTTTTTTCCCACACTGTATGTAAATGTGATTCCAGTTTATTTTTTATTAATATAAATTAGCAAAAAGTTATTATGGGGTACTGTGTGTAGATTGATGAGCGAAAAAACAATTTAATCAATTTTAGAGTAAGGCTGTAACGTAACAAAATGAGAAAAATGTCAAGGGGTCTGAATACTTTCCAAAGGCACTGTATGTCTATAGACATTGAATAATCATAGCTCTAGCCACACAGACCGCACTTAATATGGTTAGTGCGGTCTACCTCATCACTGTTCAACATCAACACATCTCAACACCAAATGAACATTGCATGGGCATTATGCAATAACCATGAAGGCGCCATCCAGAGTAGGATGATGTCACCCCTAGACACTGACCTCAGGTCAGATAGTTCTGTCACTACAGGGCAACCTCTACCCGTAGTGGAGGGACTCTGGTGAACTGGTTCCTACCTGCAGGGGACTGTGCACTGGAGGAAATCCACCATCTTCTGAGCATGCTGCTTGGTGGCATAGTAGAAATCAATACCCTCTGAGAGAGGAGAAAGATTCAAAACCAATCAGTCCTCAATCAATAAATCAACCACAGGCACACACACCACACGTAACCTCCGTCATCACACTTAATACGCCAGCCTCAGTAATACAGACCAGATGGCCACCGCGGGGGGGATATGGCCGCCACATGTTGAAGCCTCAAGGTTTTTAACTCCGGCTAGAGAGGGAGGTAATTTATATCGAACTGTCAAATGACAGCTTCTCCCTTACAATCTGGTCCAACCACACTGGGCGCTGTTTCTGAAATATCTCTCACTACACATTGTGTGTGTATGTCTGAAAATAGGACCTGAGTCAAACAGCATTCTTGGCATGGTAAATGAAATGCTCAGTACTATGATCCTACCACACTGATTATAAACACATTACCATGCCCTTCTAAAGCCTAGGATAGGAAAGCTTTATTAAAGAAAATCATCAATGTCAATGGTAAGCTTGCATGGTCTGGTGTCTCTTCCTGGATGAAAACCCCACTTTAAAACAGTATATTCTATCCCAAACCCACCATGGATCTCCTTGATGTTGAGTGCGTGCTGATGGAGTTTGTGCTTGAGAATCAGCTGCTCCAGGTAGTAGAATGTCTTCTTGTGAGAAGTCTAAAAAGGACCAGCCCAATATTAGGTTACCAACACGTTAAAAACGATTGATGTGGTGAGCAACATGAATAATATAATTCTAATCATCAGTGTTACCTTCTGTCTGACTTGCACCACAGAGTTCCAGAAGTCCTTGGCCTCGACACGGTGGCAGTCATCACACATCTGGCCCTGGATGACAAACTCCACCACAAACACCTGCTGCAGGATGGCTCCATTCATCACCTGGACAGGACAGACCAAACTACCATCAACCACTATTCTCTTATATGACTGACTCAGAACATAGTTTAGGATTGTAATGTGACACACCAGGTAAATAATCCAGAAGCGGGCTAGAAAGCTGTGACCCAAAGGGAATTGGCTTTGACCCACCAGCGGATCATTACCCACCCAACATTTGGGAAACACTGATGTGCAACACTTTATTAATCAGGGTTTGGTGCTCCTATTTCTGGTGACTAAAGGGCATCTAGATACGGGGCGGCAGGTAGCTTAGTGGTTAAGAGCGTTGTGCCAGTAACCGAAAGGTCGCTGGTTCTAATCCCCGAGCCGACTAGGTGAAAAATCTGTCGATGTGCCCTTGAGCAAGGCACTTAACCCTAATTGCTCCTGTAAGTCGCTCTGGATAAGAGCGTCTGCCAAATGACTAAAATGTAAATGTAATACAAGATCACTGGTCACACAAATCCTCTTACACTCCAGACAAAGGCCTGGGCCCTGAGGAGCTCAGATTCCTCTGAAAGGTCATGAAGTTAAGATGACAGCCACTGGCTAATCTTCACCCAATCCCTGCTCTGAAACTACACAGCCAGCCCATTATCCCTTTACTGTCACCTGGATTAAATAATGACAACATGGAAGTTAGCGGTGGGACACGTCCTCCTGATCAGGTTCCTAATCCATTCTATTAAATATCACACTCTCACGCCTCTTATTTCTCCACTCACCTCTTTCTGTATGGTCACCTTCAACTTGATCCGCTTGGAGTGGGGTTCTGTCCACAGGAATCCAGCATCAATCAGACGCACCTGGATTGAGAGGTCACATGAGTTTCTGAGGCGAATGGCTACAGCCCTGTTGAAAAATGTTAACAAGTTTATGTTTGAATGTAAAAAGAGCAGAGTAGGGAAGGGATACTCACTTTGGTCATGTTGCCCTTCAGTTTTTTAAGGCAGAGGGCGAGCAGTTCCCTGGACTCCAGAGCACACTGCACCCAGGAGGCTGGAGGCTGCAAGTACCTGCATGGAAGAGAAAGAGGTGCAATCAATCCATCTGAACTAATGTTGGTGCCTTGGCAAGATCCCAGTTAACTGCCTAATGATCCTTTGGTCAAGCAAGAGCACAACACAGGGACTTAAACGTCTTAGCTGTGGCACTAAGTTTGACAGGCTTGTGATGGTGGTCTGGGCTGTACCGTTCACACTGCTTGCAGAAGTGCAGATTGACTTGCTTGGGGATTCCCTCTGAGATGTCCACTGTGGTCCTGAGGCAGGACACACACATGTTGGCTGGATTTGGGGGGATGGGGATGCCACAGGTGCAGCACAGGCTGGGGAGAGGAGAGAAACCATTCCTTAATTAGTACTGTGTACCAGCTGATACCTTTGAAAAAGTTATGAATCTACACATTCACACGAATGGTAAAGGACAGATTATTTGTAGCCTGTAGGAGGCTGATCATAAATTCTACTTACATGTTCCCCTGGCTGCTTGTAGCAGGAACTTGCATGTATTCCATTATAAATGGTGTGGGTGTTGTAGTGAGATCTAGATACAAGACAAATCAGATTGATGTTATGAAATCAGATAAATCAGAACTTTTTAGATTATATACAAAAACGTCATGATATAAGCAAACAACACATCCACATGTGTATTGATTACGGACAATACATGGTAGCCAGCTAACTTTATCTAGTGCACTAACTTCCCTGTTAATGTTTTTTTTTTCTCAGCTACAACTCTTTGATATCTCTCAGGAGTTAATCATTCATCACAATGTCACAACTCATCTGACAGACCCATCTGTGCTGGCACTTGTCGTTAGCTAGGTATACAATTTACTTCACTAAACGGCAACCAGTAACTGTTAGATAGAAAAAGGCAGATTTAAATGGCCGGTAACGTTACTTGCTAGCCTTAGCCTAGCTAACAGGGAACAGCTTTCCTTCCGACTAATTTGCGATGATCGTGACAGTTTGGTCATTACATAGGAGGAGCCGTGTTAAAAGGTTTCGGGGCCCTTAATGCCATTTCATGAGACAACTGATAAACAACACGTATTTACAGAATGTTAGTCCATGTACACGTTGCGGACCTCCACGTTTCTCCACCACAAACTGGAAAGGAGGAGCAGGATGATGACGACACACAATTTCCTGGTGGCAAAAGGACCCAGTCCCTCCCTCTCTTTTGCCTGAGTGCAGTAACTTCAAAAACCATTCAAATTCAAAACAGACAGAAGAAACAGCATTACTGGTATATGGATGTTATGAAATGATTGACAAATATTGTAATAATCCAATTAATTATTGTTGATATACATTGGATTGGCCAAGAAGGCAATACGTATTTTAGAAATATAAGGTCAATTCATTTACCCAAAGATGATCGATTTATTGAACCCAAAGGCATTATCGTTATCTATACCTTCCTCCTTTATCTTTCTTCATCGCCATTATCATCAACAACAACAACAAACCAAAGAAGAATTGTACAAAGTACCTTATCCATTCAGTTTCTAAACCTTTGCCTTAATTGTTTTATAACCGCTCTGGGGTCATGTCTAGCTTGGATAGAGTTTTTGTCCAATTTACGTCAAAAGTAGATTTTTTGTGTTAATTTTAGTTTACTCTAACTCTTTTCCTAACCTTAACCCAATTCTCCTAACCTGTTACGTTCATTCTCATAACCTATTACGAAAAGTCAATTTTGACAAAATCTCTATCCCTTAGACAAAACCCTGGTCTGGTCCTCGAGGCTTGCCGTAACATATATAACCAGGTGGGCTCAGATTAAAACAATCCGCGGTTGGGGGTGCGTACATCGGTGAAGAAGTTACGTAAATCAAAAATACGCGATTTACCCAAATTCTATTAATTTTCTATTCAGCAGTATAAAGTTGCAAGTGACATTTAGTTTGCCCCTCCAGAAATATGATTATGTTATCCTAAACAAGGTTGCATGGTGCACACCTCACGTTCTCCAATTGGTGCGGTCCTGAAAACTAACGCTTCCTCGGCTTCAATTTGAGAGCACTATTTACAGCTCAATCTCAACCTCGCTGTCAAAGGTTGAGGGAGCCTGCAATTTGCTTTCAAGTTAGCTTTAAACGAGGTACTTCAAAGCGGGGTCTCTCCAACTGTCTGAGGTTTTATATAGCTACCATTCTCCTCCTTGCAACGGTTGCGATTCACTGCATCATATGGACAAGGGACAACCGCTGGTTCACGGGGCTTTATGATAGAGTGAGCCAGCCAATACAGCATTTTACACCCCGCATTGTCTAACGTTACGGATTCTCCAATACATCAAGCAGCATTGCTACATGCGAGCTATCAGTGTTGGGTTGAATTAATTCAGCTTTTTACACCAGATGTGCTGTAGGCTACGTTTGGTGAATTTGGTTTCGCTGTTTATTTACTCTAACATCGATAATAATGGACTGAAAGTTGCGGGTAAACAATAACAACCTGCAGTGATTTCTTGTTTGTGTAAATGATAGAGGATACGATGACACTGTTGTCTCTTTTGGGTCGGATCATGCGTTATTTTCTGCTCAGACCAGAGACCTTGTTCCTCCTATGCATAAGCCTGGCTTTATGGAGTTACTTCTTCCACACTGACGAGGTGAAAACCATCGTCAAGTCCAGCCGGGATGCTGTCAAAATGGTCAAGGGGAAAGTGGCGGAGATTATGCAGAATGACAAATTCGGGGGACTCGACGTTCTGGACGCAGAGTTCTCCAAAACCTGGGAGTTCAAGAGCAACAATGTGGCGGTGTACTCCATCCAAGGCCGGAGAGATCACATGGAAGACCGCTTTGAGGTCCTCACTGACATCGTGAACAAGAGTCACCCGTCTATATTTGGGATTTTCGATGGCCATGGGGGAGAGGTAAGATAAATGGCCTGTTATCATTCATTTGTTGAGACTATACTTTTTTTGATTGGTCAACACTTGCACATGCACTTGCTATGCATCAAATCATATTAATCCCTCTCCACAGGGGCATGCATAAGGCACTTTAGCACTTTACTTTGTGAAGTTGTGCCAAAAATAAGAGACCATCATTCATGGTCTTACAAGTTTAAAATACTTATAGACATAACAAGATTGTGTGGTATGCTGCAGATAAAGTCTAAACTGATTATAGCAGGCTTGGGGGTGAAAAAGAAGAGAAACTCATTCAAACGTGTAGGTTGATTGAAGATGGATGTGACGAGAGCTGGTCATTTCCAACCCCAGTGAGAGATGCTTTCGGATATGGGTCATATTCTGGTCTGAATACGGTAAATCACTGGTGCCCTGTGCATGACCATAACTTGTCATCCGATGCCCATGCACCTGTCACCCTCTTCATGTTCTGGTCACTCACTGGTTACAGACAAAGCCCTGGCAGCTGTAGGTCTTTGACTCCATGACAAGCATTCAGTAGCACAGATCGAACAGCTTGTCTCACAGAAATACGCTTCCTACTCTCATCAGCCAGATGTCCCTATAGAGGGGCAAAGCGTCCAGCCGTCAGGCGGTGTGTGTGTGTGTGTGTGAGAGAGAGGGAGTTGATATATGAGAGAGAAGGGGATAGGCAGTCAGTCAATGTAAGGGTCATACTCCATGCACAAGACAGTGGGATACTGATCTTGTTACTCCTCATCGTGACCAGAAGAGAATGCATGTGTTTTTAAAAAGTTTTTTAAATGTGATGCTGGGGGGTATCGCCATCATTGTCAGGGCAACAACACTGATTGATCATGATGGCCTGCCTGAACAGTGACCTTGTCTCCGTGGGCTTCAGCTGTAGCCACGCGGTCCTGACCGCCCAGTATTGACTGACGCCATGGAGCTACGTGAAGAAACTCACTGGCAAATGCTTTCTGACAAGGCTCCCCTCTCTCCTCCCCCCTCACACTGCCTCTCTCCCAGACCCAGTCTACGGGCTGCCAGTGGTTTTCTAAGGAGCTCTACTGCTCAGACCTGATCTAGTCTGTTTAATACAGAAGTTGACTATTCTGTCATGATCCAGGCTGAAATATAACATTGTAAAAATAGACAGCGATGGAGATGGAGGATAACCATTCTTTTCGGGGTAGATTAAACTGTGGGCTCTAGTGCAGCAGCTCCCTTTGACCAAAACTGGTCATTTGTCTGGTTTTCCCTGCAGCATGTTTGAGTTTGCTCTTTCGTTCCTTCTTCCCTGGATTCCTTATAGAGGATGGTAAACCAGGCTATAAAAGCCTTCCTCAGCTCTGTGTGTGGGAGAGGGAGAGCAGAGAAAGAGGGTGTTCACTTCAGATTTGCTCATGAAGGCGAGGGACTTTTTTCCCTCGCTATGGCCTTGGGTGACAATTTGGTGTGTTTTATTCCTACACGCTCTTTTGAAGTGTGTGAAACTGTTGCCAGACACCAGCTTTTCAAATGGCTCTGTAGCTACTGTATATTATTGTTTATGTATTCCTGGCCCAGGGGCGGTGCGTCAGCAGAGAGATGCAGTGTAGCCCAGGGCTGGAGGAGGACTCAGCTCAGCATATTGGTTAGTTCCCTCTACCTCTCTAAACAGGACAGAGTAATGTTCCCTCTGATTTTAAATGATTTGTCGACCCTTTGGGCAAGATAGCCTATCTCTCTCTCCTACTCAAAACAAAGTTGACATATGATTCACCAAGCCCTAGTGGCAGGAGAGGGGTTGAAGGGTGAGGTAGGTTGGGGGAGGTTGGTGAGAGGGTTGGTAGCCAGAGTTACTTGCCAGGACACCTTGTCCTAGCTCTGACACTGGCCTGGAACTAATCGATTTACCCACAGGAAGATACATCGCCTCTCAGAGAAGAATTGCAAGCTGGAAACACACACACACACTAAATGCTATACCTTGCAAGGATACCTTGCAAATAATTGACATTTCTTTCCTTAATTGCTGGTTATTTGGTATGCATGTGGATGTCTCTGGAGATAGCGATTCATGACGTCTCTAAGTAATATATCCATTCCAGGCTGTTTGTTCTGACTCCATGTAAACATAAACTGACTAATGTTCATCCCTTATTGATATTCTGTAGGGAGAGATGCTCTCTACATGGGTGATGGTCTTTAAGATAACACCCTGGGGGTCTGGCTGAAGATCCTGTCTGATGTATAGACCTGCTTCTAGCTGCACACAATTACTGTATGTCGACAATAGAATACCAAGTTGAGACATGTATAACTCCCCTCTTTACTCTCCTAGTATGTTATCTTTCCTTTTCTCTGAATGGCTCAATGGAGAAAGGCAGTTCCGATAATGAAGTCATCGCTTTCCTTTTGTGCTGATGTTCCCCCCCCCCCCCCCCCCCCCACTCTGCCATCTTAAAGTTCAGTTTAGAGGAGAGTGGTGTGGCTGCGTGTGCGTAGGCAGTTTCTGAACAGGAGAAGATGGAGAGAAGTATTGTGTTAAGAGGGATGAGAGGAAAGAACACAAGGATGACCTTTTGAAGTGGGGCTCCTCTTTATTATTCGTAATCGTTCCCTTTCTTGCTTACCTTGGCCCTCACCGGAGTTCACCTTCCAATCGCACTGACAATAAAGGCCTCTTAGTGTAAAGGGCACCGTTTGCATTTTAATCCTGGGGAGGGACAGAGAAGGTGTGTAAGAGACTGTGAGAAAGAGACTGTGTGTCTGAGACTGTGTGTGTGAGCCGAGTGCATGCGTGAGAGACTGTCTTGCAGAGGGAAGCCCATTGCTTGCAGTTTGCTGAACCCTTGAATATTATAGTTGACCTGCTTTCATCCTCCTCCCTCTCTCCTCTCCTTTTCTCCTCTCTTTCATCCACTCAGGTTGTCAGTGTGATTACAGCTCAGTGTAACTGCAGTCTGATTACTGGAGCACTATTTGAGGAGCTTTCAATTCAACTCCTTTCATTCCCATCTCCATACCGCCATTTTCCCTCACTTCATCTCATCTACACTGTAGCCCTGTTGCAGAATGGCTCCAGTGGGTGTGTGTCTCTGCATCCGGCTCATGGTTCCCTCCCCATGGGAATAAACCCTCTTCACCTGTTATGGAGGGCTGGTGGGCTCAGTTGACTGGTCTCCAGGAGTGTGTTTGTCTGCATCTTACTGTGTCCATTTCTGATTGTGGACAGCTGTGTCTGCATGTCTATCAGGCTCCAGATGTGTGTGTCTCTGGTTTAGATATTCAGCAGCCTGGATCCCTCTAGAGCCCACTCACACTGGAGATGAAAGAAGCGGCATGACTAATTGCAGTGTCGGCATTATAGAGGATTACATAGTGTGTGTGTGTTCCCTCATGTTAAAATGCAAATCTAAAGTAATGGATTTCCAGGGGACATTAGATGAAGTGAACGATCAGCAGCGATGGCATGTTATCGTGAAATGCCACTGCCTATTTGGGCTTTACACACCTGTTCCAGACGATGTCATTTCCTGCCGAATGTCCCCCGTAAGTGTTAGCCCTCCGAAATCTAATTTAAATGTATTCCTCCAGGAGCCATAAAATAATGGAATCCATGAGAATAATAATACAAAAGGAATACACCATTCACCCTGGCAGACCAAAAATACTCTGCTTCGCTCACGGCTGCTTCACTTCATTCTGGAGGCAGATTCCTGAACCCACTTTTATTGCTTTTGGCAAAAGCAGATGCTCAACATTTCTTTCAGACCTGCCTTGATGTTGTGGAAAGAGCAGTGAGCAGGAAAGGTGATGTTTTGTAGGGAAAAACACCCTGTAGAGATGGACTGGGAGCTTTTCTACAGTTCTCTGACCTTTTAGTCATTCCGCACCAGTTGGGCATAAAAAAAGTTGGTCTTCGATCCTAGATCAGGTGTAGAGTTAAGACCAGGATGGTGCTACTGGCCCCAGAAGACTGTCACGGAATGTTTGTTGAGCGGAACCCGACGAGTGGAACACTGTAAATACGGAACCCAAATGTCACAATTACCCCATTTGCCATTTTAAGTATTTTCTGCCATGGGCAATTGTTTCGTGCAGTAGTAAACTCACATTGAGTGTAACGTTATTCTGTTTTTCCCACCAACATTCTTTTCCATTATGCAAGTACTTGTCCCATAACCCCTCTTGTCCTGAAATTCTCTAGCTCGTATTGGTTCTTTTGGAGTGTGTGTAGTGCACGTGGAGCCCCCCAAAAGTCCCCAGCAAAGCTCCCAGCATGGCGTCCCTCCCGGCCGTTCAATAATTCAACACTCCCTCTGCCAGCCAGGCGCTTCTTCTGCTAAAAGCTGCCTATCTAACCCCCCCCCCCCTTCTAATCAAGTGAGAGAGACTGTCATTTCTTCAAACAATTCATATTTTTATTTGATATCGATTAATTATTGTGATAATGGAGCTGGTCAACAAACCACCCATAGGTGATTAGTTGAGAGCCCAATGAACAGGAAATGCTGACGTCTTATATAGTGGACCTAAAAATACTTAGTCATGGCTGGTTCCACCCCTCCCCGGCAGATCAGGAGCTACCTTGTTTTCTTCTTGTGTCTATGTGTATCGGGTCATAGCGCACAAACAAGTGATAACTTTAGTTCCGTTTCACCTCATATTTCCACATAGCTGAGCCCTTGGAAGATAGTAAAAGACAGGATGAACTGAAAAACTGTGGTCACTCTGAGGCTCTTTCTCTTGACCGTGTGACCAAGTTGAACAGAAGCCAAGATGAGGGGAGACAATACAGGTCTGTTCTGTTAATAAAACGATCTCTAAACTGGAGTCACACCATGTCCTTGACAATACACCCAGACCAGCTGCAGGGAGCTAGAGGAAACCATCCTTATGAAAAGCACAGCACTGGTAGTTAAGAAATTCCCTAGCAATAGAAAGAGATCTATCAATATTCATACAGATATAATCAACAAAGCAGGTATATATTTTAATTTTTCCCTGACAGGTGGAGTGGTTCAAATAAGGTTCCCCAGATTTCTAAAAGTTGAGACAACAGTCAAGGAGAGAATCTCTTATGCTGACTGTCTCCTCCCTGTGGTGCTGTGCATGAGGCTGGATGGATGGGCTGAGGAGTGAGAAGTTGGCCTTGTTTGGGATTTTGGACAGGGAGGAGGGAGATGTAGAATACCCCTCCAAGTCTCCACTCCACATCATACACATGCACACACTCCTCTAGTCCTCCCCATGGCCTCTGGGGTTCTATAGAGGGCAGGGGGTATATTCTGTGCTGCCAGGTCTCTCTGCTTTTTGACTCTCTGTGGATGGTGGGCACTCTGTTCTTTCTGTGTGAATAGGTTATGAATGAATGAACAGGGCTAAATGGCCATGACTCTAGGCTCCTACTGAGTGGACTGGCGTCAGCTGCCTTTACAGACAGAAAAAGGTGTGAGGCAGTGGAAAGGGATGTCTCTCTTCTCTATGATTGGTGCTGTTTTAGCAGTGGGGAGAGCAGGCAGAGGAATGTTGACACGGGAAGGAGAGGATCACTCACAGCTGCTGTGTGTATGTGTGATGGACATACAGGAGGTGTGTGTGTGTGTGTGTGTGTGTGTGTGTGTGTGATGCTCACTGGTCTATGCGTCTGTCCCAGCTGTGACTTCTACCAGACTCCACTTTGGGTGAGCTGCGGATCAGTGGGTTGGGACGGATGGGGCAGGTGCGTTCTTTTTGGGGGCTGTGTGTGTAGTTCACGCTGTACACTATGGTGTGTGTGTGAGCGTACATGCATGGGTCTGTGTGTAGGAGGGGTAAGCTATAACACAGAAGACTGTCTGCAGGGCGTATGTGTTGGCTGGTCAGGCAGGAGGAATGCAGGACATATGAGTGGCTGATGTGAGCAGATGGTTTCTATCAACTACAGCATGGACCTGAACTCTCCTTTCCTTAGCGCAGAGACTGGGCTTCTCAAGGATATGTATACTCAATGTTCTATTCTAATCTGTCATATGAGTGTGTAAACTCCTTCTAGTGGGAGGAGCAGTTGTATTCATTTTAAGGTTGTGTGTGTGCGGCCCATACTGGTAGACCTGTTGGAACTCTGTCGTCTACTTCTGATTACGGCCCTCTGAGATTTATGACCCGTAGAGGCTGTTTCATTCTTTAATTTTAATTCCTTTCTAAATGTGTTCAGATGGTTGGTTGGTGTGTGTGTGTGACCGTTTGCGGTGTGTGTGTGTTTGGTCCTCTGAGATTTATGACCTGTAGAGAGGCTTTTTCATTATTTTTTATACCTTTTCTAAATGTGTTCAGATGGTTTGTGTGTGTGACCGTCCGTAGTGTGTGTTTGTGACTGCCAGTGTGTGTGTGATGGTTCGTGGTGTATGTGACCACCAGTGCACTGAGGCCTGAGCTGAAAAACTCCCTCTTAGTTAGACCAGGCTGCGAGTTTAGAGAATAACCATGATGAAGTTATGGCTTGGCTGAGTTGGCTATGATCCTCATACATGCTTCTGAATCCACGCCCACTGAGTCTTCCATAGGCAAGCAAGCATTACTGTTAAGCTTGCCTGACTGATTATTTTACTCTCTGTAGGTCACCTTATATGAGCATCTGCCAGAGAGGAACTCATTATATTACAACCTAATGTACGTTTTTCTTAGACTTTCCCTGGATATTTCCTATGCGGAGACCGGAGAGCTAGGTGGATTGTAGAGCTGAGAGTGATGGGTTATGAGTGATGGGCTGGGGGCTCAGGGCTGAGCTGCTAAATTGATTAGTGAAGTAGGGGGAGGCGTATGGTGATGGTGGCTAATGGTAACCGCTGAAGGCCCAGGGAAATCTGCTTTCCTCCTCCTGACTGTCTCTCTAAATCCATGACTGAAGGGAGGAGAGGAGACTGCAGGGAAGATTAGAACTACACTAATCCCAGTTGAGAGATTGGAAATATGTTTAGAACCTTTTACTTGTAGTTGTTTTATTTCTTCCAGTCTCTCTGTCAGTGGAGGCTGGTGGGGGGAGCTATAGGAGGACGGGCTCATTGTAATGGCTGGAATAGAATCAGTGGAATGGAGTCAAACATATGGAAATGACATTGTGTCCGTTCCATGTATTCCATTCCAGCCTCCACTGGTCTTTGTCTCTCTCACCTCTTCATCTTTCTGACTATCTCTCCATCTCACTGTTGGCTCTGCTCTTCCTCTCTTCTCTACATCTCTCCTACAGGGAAGGCCGGTGGCTGTAAGGAGGCTGTACGTTGCCCTGTGGCTCAGCTGTATAATGAGCTTAGCCAGCGGCAGAGCTGTCAGCAAGGTTTTAGAGCTGCTCTTAGCAGGCTTACACCATCCACAGGAGGAGAGGAGAGGGGCAAGGGAGTGGGTGAAGGATGGAGAGGAATGAGGAGAAGGATAATGGAGGACAAATTTAGATTGATTGGAAAGCGGCTGTAAGTTTACTGCTGCTCTTAGCAGCCTCCCACCTTTCTCTCTTAGCAGCCTTCCACCTTTCTCTCTTAGCAGCCTCCCACCTTTCTCTCTTAGCAGCCTCCCACCTTTCTCTCTTAGCAGCCTCCCACCTTTCTCTCTTAGCAGCCTCCCACCTTTCTCTCTTAGCAGCCTCCCACCTTTCTCTCTTAGCAGCCTCCCACCTTTCTCTCTTAGCAGCCTCCCACCTTTCTCTCTTAGCAGCCTCCCACCTTTCTCTCTTAGCAGCCTCCCACCTTTCATAGGAGGAGAGGAGAAGGGGGATGAGTAGAAGAGTAAAAATAAGAGGTAGAGGAGAAAAGGAGGGGAGCTTTGGAACTTTTTTTTTTTGTAGACTTACAACCGCCTCAGGAGGGGAGAGATGGAAGAAAGGAAAGAAGTGAGAGAGGCAGGAAGACTATGTAAGATAAGAAAGGGATGAGAAGTGAACGGGTAGAGAGGAAGAGAGGCTGAGCTGTGTATCTAATGTTATATCTGGATGAGAAGACACATGGCTGCAGGTGTATCCTGTCTGCAGGGTGTATTTATGTACAGCATCTGCTGTGAGTAGCATGCTGAAGGCTGCATTAGCAGCATCAAAGCAGATGTAAAGAGTGAGTGGAACATGCAGCCAGTCAGGTGCTAGTTTAGTCTTTGATCTTCTGCTTGAGTGTGCAGGAGAACATTCCTACATCATAAATGCTTAGCAGCCCAGGGACACATTCGCAACAACAACATTTGTGAGGAGTGGCAGCAGCGATTTTCTTCTGTGTATTTGTCTGTTAGTGAGCAAGAAATAGTGTGTGTGAAAGAACTGCCGCTTTTCTCTTTTCTCTTTGATCATGAGTCATTTCAACTGTGGGGCAGACCAAGCTTTGATGTCTCTAGTCTGAGACAATATGAACATGGCGTACTCTCTCTCCCTCCCTCTCTTTCTTCTTTGTGTGCATTTATATTCTCTCCCTCCTCTCTTCCTGTCTATTTTGAACTTTTGCTCTATTACTTTCTCTAATTTTTTCTCCCTCTCCATACCACACACTATCTTCCGTTCCATGTCTCCCTCACTCCAGAAATCAAACTCTGTCCTTCACCTTGAGTGTCTCTGGGAGACGAATGCCAGGGTAGTGCAAGCCGAGCCTCCTGCCTGCCTGTGTTGTGAGACCGGAAGGAAACAGGGTGAAGGACACAGACTGAGGTCTCCTACTGTACTCTCTTCCCATTGCCCCGTTCAGAAACCCAACATGTAGTGCATTCGGAAAGTATTCGGACCCCTTGACTTTTCCCGGAAGCCACGGAAGCCACTCCTCAGTAAAAGGCACATGACAGCCTACTTAGAGTTTGCCTAAAGGACTTAGACCATGAGAAACAAGATTCTCTGGTCTGATGAAACCAAGATTGAATTCCAAGCATCACGTCTGGAGGAAACCTGGCACCATCCCTACAGTGAAGCATGGTGGTGGCAGCATCATGCTGTGGGGATGTCTTTCAGCTGCAGGGACTGGTAGACTAGTCAGGATCGTGGGAAAAATGAACGGAGAAAAGTACAGATCGTTGATGAAAACCTGCTCCAGAGCACTCAGGACCTCAGACTGGGGTGAAGGTTCACCTTCCAACAGGACAACGACCCTAAGCACACAGCCAAGACAACGCAGGAGTGGCTTCGGGACAAGTCTCTGAATGTCCTTGAGTGGCCCAGCCAGAGCCCGGACTTGAACCCGATCTAACATCTCTGGAGAGACCAGAAAATTGCTTTTTTCTTAATTTGCAGTTTTTGCTTTGTCATTATGGGGTATTGTGTGTTGATTGAGGGGGGGAAAAAAACAATTTAATCCATTTTAGAATAAGGCTGTAACGTAACAAAATGTGGAAAAAGTTAAGGGGTCTGAATACTTTCCGAATGCACTGTAGGCCTGTTATCTGCCTCGCTCTGCTTAGAAGTTGCAATTTCCAACTTCTGGAACTATAAATCTGACCTTTTTCTATCTGCATCATCCCAAACCAATTCGGCTCTCCTCACTGATTGGCTGCCTGGCCTTGGTCAATGTTCTCTGAATCACCGCACCACTCCCAGAAAGGTGGTTCTGTGAAATCCATACAGGTGTGTTTTAATATGCACTACAGTGTTAATCTCTGAGGCGATATTACAACCCCATCCATATTCTTCTGCTCTCTATGGGAGAGTAAATTAATGTTTGTGTTTGCTAATTTGTTTTCTTTTAGTTTTGTGTGTGTGTTCTCATGGCACATCTGCATACTGGGGCTGAGATGTGTGTTTTCTAACCCCTGTAGTGAAAGGAGAGAGAGAAGGAGTTTATCTCTCTCTCTTCCTCTCCCCTCTCTGCAGAGTCACCTTATCTCCCTGCAGTCTGTCTGATTTATTTATCGCTGCTCTGCAATATTAAAGAGTCTGCTGCCTACAACCCTAAGGGGAGTCCATGTCTACACACACACGTATGCTGCCTGTCAGCTGCCCTTATCTTTTCCTGAAAACACACTACCATATGGGCATCACATCACAGAAACATACATTTATCTGTGGATTTTCAGTTAGTGTATATTATCTTCAATGAGAACGCTTGTTTCTCTCCTCATTTGCTGTAGCATGTCTGTGGATGAGTGTGTCCACATCTGTGGGTGTGTATGTGCAGATGACCGTGTGTGTGTGTGTGGCGGCAATGCCAGGACTCTGCTGGTGGCTGTAATTGCTGTCCGTCTATGCCTCAGTGAAGCTAGCCTGGGAATCCTGACTCATCTCTACTGGCAACGCTGCCTGGTATGGATTTGAGCCAAAATGGAGTCACTGGGATTGGATCTGTGTAGGAAACTGCGCTGCACTGTTGGTGTTTGGCTGTGCTCTCTTTCCTGATTATTGGCTGTGTAAACTTGACTATGGTCTGAGTTAAAGCCAATATGGAGTCATTGTGTCACTATGGGCCTCTCTGGTCCATGCTGTTCTCATCCATGCAGCCCTGGAGTTCACCTGCACACACACACACACACACACACACACACACACACAAATGCCCTCCTACGCAGAGACACACATCACACACACTGTTCAAATAGATGTGTTGTGGCCTCTCTCTCATGCCCATGCATCACAAACACCCACATTCACTTTCTATAAGATTTTCATCCTTTTTCACTAGCACTCCCGATCCTAGACACTTTCATACAGACACATTCTCTTGCATCTCTCATGCCCATACATCATGCACACCTACAGTACACCCTATCTTCTAAACAAAAGGTTCAACCTCTGTCCCGCTTTCACACACACTCCCCTCAGAGTTGGAGGTGATCCAAAGCACTGACCTGCTGAGAACAATCAATCCACACTTTCACGAACTTAACACACACACTCACTTACCCTAGTGGCATGCGTTTAATTCCTTCATCCTCTCTCCCAGTCCCTTAATAGCCGCAGCGGATGGAGGCCTGTGGATGAATATTGATTTTAATGGGGCCGTGTGTCTGAATGTTTATCAGCTAATAGTTGAGCTCTGCGTCGTGCGGTGCTCACCTGGCCTGCTGTATTGATCGCTGTGTGTTATTCCTGCTTATTGATGAATGGGGATGCAGTTCAGTGATACAGTGCAGTGATCAATGTCTGGAGGACCCAGTCTGATCATAAGAGGGCCAGGTCAGGGATTAACAATCTCTGCCACACTGGGCTGATGAGAGGGAACAGGTTAACATTGTATCATATAGGCCTAGTATAGGAGTAGCAGCAGCACTTGTATGTCTCTGATGAAGAAGTACTTGTTGTCTTTGCCTCTGTCTTCATCGCTGCTGTTCTTTCTCGGCTGGCAGCGCTCAGTGAGAGGGGAGAGGAGGCAGTTTCTAATTAATGTGATAAATGCTGCATCCATCTCCAGAGGGAAGGAGGGGAATGGAGGTAGGGAGGGGTATGGAGGGAGGGAGGGAGGGAGGAAAGACATGGAGAGGAAGATGGACTAGTAATATTGGTACAAAGCGAGGTGGAAGATGGGTTCTTTAGAGGAAATGAGAATGAAAGAAGAGATGTGACTTTGTTTTTAGTGTGTGTTGTAGGGGGTAAGGTATTATTGAAATGAAGAGCTGTCAATTTATTCATAATATGCATCCCAGGAAAACAAATCACCACGGAAACCAGGCTTGCCTCAGTGTGAGACCCATCTGCACTACAGGATGATGCTTTCTCTCTCTCTCTCCATCACACACTCTCTTTAATATTACCCCTCTTTCTCTCTCTCTCTCCATCACACACTCTCTTTAATATTACCCCTCTTTCTCTCTCTCTCTCCATCACACACTCTCTTTAATATTACACCTCTTTCTCTCTCTCTCATATTTATGTGCCCTTATTTTGGGGGCGCCCGTTCAACATCCATCCGTGTGCATTTGCTTGTGTGTGACTAGGGTTGCAAAATTCTGTGGACTTTCAATAAATTCCCAGGTTTTCCCGAATTCCTGGCCGGAATCAGTAGGGAATAAGCAGGAAATCCAGATTTTCCAGGATTTCTGCAAAACCAGGGAATTTACAGAAAGTTCCTGGAATTTTGCAACCCTATGTGTGACAAGTCTAGTCAAGTCCTACCTGTTCTCTAATAACCAGTCTTAGCTGTACCCAAATACAGTGTTGAATGTAATCTGGGATACCATCAGGATGTGGTGCTGGTGTCTGGAGCGGGCCAGCTGAATGGAGATGAGAGCATATGAATGGATGGATAGAGGAAGGGGATAAATAGATGGATGAACTCAGGAAGGAATGAGAGAGAGACTGAATTGTAATGGGAATCAGAATGACATCTCCTGTCAATGTGGCAGTGTGTTGCCTGGCATAGCAGTCATTTGCCTGTTGAGACTGATCTAGAATCAGCTTGCCTTCCCAAAATCCTTACCTTAACCCTGAGGAGGAACAACAACACTGACCTTAAACCAGTGTCTAGGGACCACTTCATCCTACTCAGATCTCTGGGAATGCTTCCACATCTGACAGGAAGAGGAGAGGAGGAGTGAAGTCTCAGGAACAGTGAAGCAGTGTGTTTGATTCAGAAGGCAAACAACTCCTTACTTTTCTCCTCTCTCTCTCCTGGTACAGGCCCTGCTTTCATTAGCCTGATGGCAGGTGTAAACTCTGCTATCTTCTCTGCTATCTACACAGGAGGTTGGTGGCACCTTAATTGGGGAGGACAGGCACGTGGTAATGGCTGGAGAGGAATAGGTGGAAAGGTATCAACAACATCGAACACATGGTTTCCATTTGTTTGATGCCCTTCCATTTGTGCCAGACATTATTATGAGCCGTCCTCCCCTCAGCAGCCTCCACTGGCTGACAACAACTGTGGGAATTATTTCATGGTTCAATCTTTCATCCTTTCCACTCTTCTCCTAATATCGCTCTGTTGTGATTTTGGGAGCTCACTTTCTCTTTCACCTTTTTCTGTTATTAAGAGCAGGGCTGAAGAGAGACAGACCGAGGGGAGGAGTGAGGTGGTGTGATGTCGCAGTGTGGACATGCATTGTACCCGCAGTGAAGTGGAGAAAAGTGCAAATTGATATTTCAGATCTAAAGAGCTGTGGGATTGTCTGTGTGCATCTGGGTGATTGTGTTGGATTCTGTGTGTGTCCTGAGAGCTGTGTCTTAGTATGGTATGGGCCTTTTGCTGCGCGATGAGGCAGAAAGAGCATAGTGGTAGAGGGGAGATGAGTTCAGAGCAGCGGGGGTCTTTAGCTCCTCCAGGAGAGGGCTTAACCCTTTCCCTACCACCCCTACAGCAGGTAAACCCTTTCCCTACCACTCCTACAGCAGGTAAACCCTTCCCCTGTCACTGCTACAGCAGATAAACCCTTCCCCTAACGTGGCACACACGAGATTGGCGTTTTCTATCAGGAGTCTGTATCACGTAGTCAGCTTCACTTAGTTTCTTTTCAATTACATAAGGACCAGAGAAACGTGCTGACAACGACGCTCCTGGCACAGGCAACAATACAAGAACTTGGTCACCTGGCTGCAGTGAACGAGAAACAGCCTGTGTGTCATAGCGTCGTTTCATCCGTCTCTGTGAGGAAGACGGCGCTTCCTTTGCTAGGGCACAGGCACCATGTAGGCGCTCACGAAAGCGACTAACGTAGTCCAACACATTTTCTTTCACACACAACTCTTGTGATAAAAACTGATCCTTAAGGACTTTCATAGGTCCTCTCATGGTGTGTCCAAACACCAGTTCAGCTGGGCTGAACCCTAAGGATTCCTGTACTGTCTCACGGACAGCAAACAAAACTAGAGGAACTCCCTCATCCCAATCCTTCTCAGATTCCAAGCAATATTTACGGAGCATAGACTTCAGTGTCTGATGCCAACGTTCAAGCGCACCCTGAGACTCTGGGTGATATGCGCTTGACACACGGTGTGTAACTGACAAGGATTTTAACACTTGTTTAGAAAGGAAATTCTTACCCTGATCAGTTTGTATCACCTTAGGTAACCCAAAAGTTGAGAAGAATTTGATCAACGCTTTACTCACCACCGGAGCAGTAATCCTTCGCAGAGGAATGGCCTCTGGGTACCTGGTGGCCACACACATAATCGTCAACATAAACTGGTTACCAGATTTTGTCTTTGGTAATGGTCCAACACAATCAACCATCACATGTTCGAATGGTTCACCTATGGCCGGTATGGGACAAAGAGGCACGGGGGAAATAACCTGGTTCGGTTTCCCAGTTACTTGACAGGTGTGGCAAGTCCGACAGAACTGAGCCACATCTTGTTTTAAACCAGGCCAAAAGAAATGTCGCAAAACTCGATCATAAGTCTTGGTGACTCCCAGATGTCCGGACCACTGGTGATCATGAGCGAGGGATAAAACATTTTGTCGAAAGGCTGTAGGAATCACTATTTGGTAAACAGCATTCCAATCTCCGCCAGCGTCAACATGAGATGTCCATTTACGCATGAGGAGATTACCATCAATGAAGTATGCCATGTTTTTCTTCTTTAGCTCCTCCTCTGAGACAACACTAGAAAAACATTTAGCCAGGCTAATGTCAACCTTTTGGTTAGCGATCAGCTGCTCACGAGTAACTGGTAACTGTATTGCCTCAGCAACAAGTTCCACAATCTTCTCCCTTTCTCTGGACTGTTGGTCAGACTGCACCAGCTTACCAGAGGTAGCACCCGAACTATCCTCTGGGTCACACTCTCTGAATAGAATCATGTTCGACAAATCTATCAATTCACCCACTTGTCGTGCTTGAGCACGTGTGACAGCACAAGCGGGGAACACATCTGGATAACCCTGTGCCAGCTCCTCGGAGAGAGACTGGTCACTTTTATCCAATACGGGTATCACCTTTCCTCCGGCAATATCGTTGCCCATTATAAATGTCACACCTTTTACTGGCAACATAGGACGTACGCCAACTCTGAACAATCCACTGACTAACTCAGAGTGTACGTTCACAAAGTGCAATGGCACTGGGACGAATTTCAATTCCTTGTACTAACACACTGGAACCACAATATGTATTATTGGACAAGGGCAACACATCAGATAGTATGAACGACTGCGCCGCACCAGTATCTCTGAGGATTCTAACTGGACGCTGCAACGCTTCGTCATCTGATATGGAAACAAACCCCTCAAAAATGAACAGTTCATAACTGTGATCTGGGACTGGGACAGGGACTTTCAAACCACATTCACTATGAGGCCTCTGTCTTGATTCTGGCCTTACAACCGTACGAATCAGCCCAACACCCGTTGGCGGCCTGGCGTGCTGAGGCATCCCCTGTTTGCATTTAAGCAGAAAGCAATCATTAACCATATGTCCCACCTTATGACAATAGAAACAGTGACGCACATCTTTTGGGCGTGCTGGATGTACTGCTGGTCGACTAGGACTAAAAGTTAGCAACTCTGCAGCCCTGCTCTCCGTACGAGCCAAAAACACGCTCTTATGCGTCAACACAAACTCGTCTGCCAATACAGACGCTTCCGACAGTGAGGATACTTTCTGTTCGTTCAGATAAACTACAATGCGTTCGGGTAAGCAATTTTTTAACTCTTCTAACAAGATTAACTCCCGTAGAGAGTTAAAATCAGTTACCTTACTAGCACTGTGCCATTTGTCAAACAGATTTCCTTTGTCTCTAGCAAACTCCACATAAGTCTGAGTATAATACTTTTTATGAGACTTAAATCTCTGTCGATATGCCTCAGGAACAAGCTCATAGGCACGAAGAACAGTAGCTTTGACCACGTCATAATTCAAGCTGTCTTCAAGAGGTAGCGCTGCCAGAACCTCTTGGGCTTTACCTGTTAATTTACACTGAAGTAATGGGCACCATACCTCTTCGGGCCATTTCAATGCTACCGCTATACGTTCAAAAACACTGAAATAGGAATCAATCTCTGACTCCCTAAACACAGGTACCAAGGTGATCTGTCTACTAATCTCAAAAGTAGCAGACGACACAGCTGGTGAGGACGGCTCACTAGAAGACATAGTATGAGCAGAGACTAACCTCGCTGTTTCTGCCTCCAGTTCCATTTTACGCATCTCCAGTTCCATCTTACGCGTCTCCTGTTCTGCCTCTAGCTTACGCGTCTCCAGTTCTGCCTCTAGCTTACGCGTCTCCTGTTCCATCTTACGCGTCTCCAGTTCCTGATCAAGCCTACGCGTTTCCAGCTTGTCTAGCCTGATTTGTGCCCGCTCTTCCGCCTCCATTTGGAGCCGTGTCGAGCGGACATCCATCCTGGCATCACTGTCAGTCAGTGGGGAGAGTGGGTCAAAACGGGGCAATGTGGCTGGAGCCTTAGCCTCGTCCTCAGACACCGATGGGCTTACAGGAGCAGCAGACTCAGGCGGCGGTAACTCAAGCACTCACTCGTTCAACAATATCTCTAATACTGCTTTCCTCACTTCGGCTTTCACTAAAACCCTTGATATGGGTACAGAAAAGTGGTCAGCCAAAGCCTGTAGATCCACTCTACGGCAATTCTCAAAAACCTCCCACGTAGGGTTTTCCAAAAATGCATCCAACTCAAAAGTAGCCATCCTAAACTAGCAACACGAGCCGACGAATACTGACCACACAAAAAAAACAGGTAGTTACAGCTGCCAAGCTCAACACTGAACCAGACACTAACTAATTTGAATGAGTAGCATGGGTATCAATGAGATAGATCCCAGACGAACCCCCACATTATGTTACGAACCCCGTGGCTTTAAACGTCTAGGGTGGATGGACATGAGACCCGTAACATAATTCATGCAAATTATAAGCGTGACATGGAACAGTGAGAACAAAAACTACACGACAACCATAAACTACCGTCAAACATAAAAGGTTTATTTTTGAACACACGGTAAAGGTTTGGGAAAAAGGGCTGAGCAGGACCCAAGAAATGAAACAATAGTGTAAAAAACCCCTAAACTGATCTTGCCTGCCTCAAGAACCGCTAAGCTACTGCTAGTCATACAAAAATACAGTGGGTGGTCCGCTCAGGTCTAACTAGTGTTTTTAGACAGTTTTCTTCCTACGGGTAATGTACGCCCAAGGGCAACATGCTTAAATTCCCCTTTTCCCAGAAACACACGAAGTTACCAAACAGAGTAACCAGCAACTTAGTGAGTACACAAAACACAGGACACCACAGTATCCATACTCACATACGGAAATAGTCTCTAACAAAATTACCAAACAGAGTAACCAGCAACTTAGTGAGTACACAAAACACAGGACACCACAGTATCCATACTCACATACAGAAATTAGCCTCTAACAAAATTACCAAACAGAGTAACCAGCAACTTAGTGAGTACACAAAACACAGGACACCACAGTATCCATACTCACATACAGAAATTAGCCTCTAACAAAATTACCAAACAGTAACCAGCAACTTAGTGAGTACACAAAACACAGGACACCACAGTATCCATACTCACATACGGAAATAGTCTCTCACAAAGTTACCAAACAGAGTAACCAGCAACTTAGTGAGTACACAAAACACAGGACACCACAGTATCCATACTCACATACGGAAATAGTCTCTAACAAAATTACCAAACAGAGTAACCAGCAACTTAGTGAGTACACAAAACACAGGACACCACAGTATCCATACTCGCATACGGAAATAGTCTCTCACAAAGTTACTAAACAGAGTAACCAGCAACTTAGTGAGTAAACAAAACACAGGACACCACAGTATCCATACTCACATACGGAAAATAGTCTCTAACAAAGTTACCAAACAGAGTAACCAGCAACTTAGTGAGTACACAAAACACAGGACACCACAGTATCCATACTCGCATACGGAAATAGTCTCTCACAAAGTTACCAAACAGAGTAACCAGCAACTTAGTGAGTACACAAAACACAGGACACCACAGTATGTATTATTGGACAAGGGCAACACATCAGATAGTATGAACGACTGCGCCGCACCAGTATCTCTGAGGATTCTAACTGGACGCTGAGACGCTTCGTCATCTGATATAGAAACATACCCCTCAAAAATGAACGGTTCATAACTGTGATCTGGGACAGGGACTTTCAAACCACATTCACTATGAGGCCTCTGTCTTGATTCTGGCCTTACAACCGTACGAATCAGCCCAACACCCGTTGGCGGCCTTGCGTGCTGAGGCATCCCCTGTTTGCGTTTAAGCAGAAAGCAATCATTAACCATATGTCCCACCTTATGACAATAGAAACAGTGACGCACATCTTTTGGGCGTGCTGGATGTACTGCTGGTCGACTAGGACTAAAAGTTAGCAACTCTGCGGCCCTGCTCTCCGTACGAGCCAAAAACACGCTCTTATGCGTCAACACAAACTCGTCTGCCAATACAGACGCTTCCGACAGTGAGGATACTTTCTGTTCGTTCAGATAAAATACAATGCGTTCGGGTAAGCAATTTTTAAACTCTTCTAACAAGATTAACTCCCATAGAGAGTTAAAATCAGTTACCTTACTAGCACTGTGCCATTTGTCAAACATATTTCCTTTGTCTCTAGCAAACTCCACATAAGTCTGAGTAGAATACTTTTTATGAGACCTAAATCTCTGTCGATATGCCTCAGGAACAAGCTCATAGGCACGAAGAACAGTAGCTTTGACCACGTCATAATTCAAGCTGTCTTCAAGAGGTAGCGCTGCCAGAACCTCTTGGGCTTTACCTGTTAATTTACACTGAAGTAATGGGCACCATACCTCTTCGGGCCATTTCAATGCTACCGCTATACGTTCAAAAACACTGAAATAGGAATCAACCTCTGACTCCCTAAACACAGGTACCAAGGTGATCTGTCTACTAATCTCAAAAGTAGCAGACGACACAGCTGGTGAGGACGGCTCACTAGCAGGCATAGTATGAGCAGAGACTAACCTCGCTGTTTCTGCCTCCAGTTCCATTTTACTTATCTCCAGTTCTTGATCAAGCCTACGCGTCTCCTGTTCTGCCTCTAGCTTACTCGTCTCCTGTTCTGCCTCTAGCTTACGCGTCTCCTGTTCTGCCTCTAGCTTACGCGTCTCCTGTTCTTGATCAAGCCTACGCGTCTCCAGTTCCATCTTACGCGTCTCCAGCTTGTCTAGCCTGATTTGTGCCCGCTCTTCCGCCTCCATTTGGAGCCGTGTTGAGCGGACATCCATCCTGGCATCACTGTCAGTCAGTGGGGAGAGTGGGTCAAAACGGGGCAATGTGGCTGGAGCCTTAGCCTCGTCCTCAGACACCGACAGGCTTACAGGAGCAGCAGACTCAGGCGGCGGTAACTCAAGCGCTCGTTCAACAATATCTCTAACACTGTTTTCCTAACTTCTGCTTTCACTAAAACTCTTGATATGGGTACAGAAAAGTGGTCAGCCAAAGCCTGTAGATCCACTCTACGGCAATTCTCAAAAACCTCCCACGTAGGGTTTTCCAAAAATGCATCCAACTCAAAAGTAGCCATCCTAAACTAGCAACACGAGCCGACGAATACTGAACACAAAAAAAACAGGTAGTTACAGCTGCCAAGCTCAACACTGAACCAGACACTAACTAATTTGCATGAGTATCAATGAGAGAGATCCCGGACGAGCCCCCACATTAACATGACCTCCCACTACAGCCGTAGCAGCAATAGAGACAGCCGACTCGGCCCCCTACGGCAGGTAAACATTTCCCCTGTCACCCCTACGACAGGTAAACATTTCCCCTGTCACCCCTACGGCAGGTAAACATTTCCCCTGTCACCCCTACGGCAGGTAAACATTTCCCCTGTCACCCCTACGGCAGGTTCTGTGACTCTGAGCCTGGATGCAGTGACTGCCAGAGTAGAAACTAAGATGTGTGGTCCCCCATTAGACAGACACACACCAGAGCTCAGGAGCTCCAGCCTGAGTCTACAAAGTGGAGCAACTGAGGTGAATGAGGCTTGGTCTATGTTTTGTGACTCACACACACAACAAGATATGTCTAAATGTGGTTCATGACGCGTGTAAGTGTCTATGTTCATTTATGGCCAACAAATCCTGTTGTCTTGTCAATTGTGTGTGTATTTGTCAGACTGTCTGGCCATAATCTTGTTTGTTTGTTCTTTCAGGCAAATAATTGAATCAGAGGTTCAGTGCTGCTACTGATCAGCTGCTGCTGATTGGTTTATCCAGCGTCTGAGACGGGGTATATAAGGGTAGGCTACTGATGAAGTGCACTAGAGTGTGCACTGCGCGGTCAGTTTTTGGGCTCCCCAGTGAAGCGTCTCGGGCTGTCAGACAGACCATAAAGAAGCTTTCAGACATGATTAATCAAACAGGAGATCATTCCAGGCCAGATTAATCAAACATGAAATGATTGATCAGGGGCTTGAGAGGGTTATTTATAACTGACTGCACTCGCTGCCCTTTGGACTATTATTTTGCTGTGTGTGTTTGTGAGATACAGTGATCAGTGGGTGAACAGGTAGTTTATCAGCCAGAGTCATCTCTCCCAGTTGACGGGGTCAGGTCCAGAGGAAAGCCCAGTCGCCCCTGCTACTGTTGAATCATCCGTCGCTGGGGCTCCTCTTCTCTATCAGGACTCATTCCTCTGTCTAGCAGGAAGTAGGAATATGTTTGTGTGTGCATGTGAGCGTTTGTATCGTGTGTGTGCGTGCACAGCCAGCCTGGAATATGAATATTCAGGCGTCTGGCTTCATATCAGTGTGTGCCAGAGAACACAGGCCACTGATCGCAGGAATACCAATGAGATGAACCACTCATATTCCACTGATGAGTGGCTGTGTCTCTGTGAGAGAGAGGGGGTGGGGTGGGGACTAAGATTGTTTGTTGTTGACATTTTCCTTCCTCTATTCTCCTTATGGCTCTGTGTGCTCCAGAAAAAGGAATTGCACTGATGTATTGATATGTTTCACTTTCATCCGGTACTTTATTTGTGGGCTAGGTCTTCTTCACACATCCCCACTGAAATGGTCACCTTGTGAAATCAACACGTGTGTAGTCACCAGTGTGAATGAGGTCAGTGGGCCTGGGGAATCGCACAGGAGTAGGAGCAGCATTTACTGTGGCCCAGGGTTGGGTTACTGCTGCTGGACTATACCCAGTAATGCACAGAGCACATACTGGTCCTGACTGGAATAGGGTAAGGAAACATATGAGGTGGATTGTAAGACTCACCCCTTTGCCATTCTGTGGAGGCGTCCACCAAATGTGTTTCAGGGAATTAATTTATATCTCCTATTTCTTAAATATGGAGCACAGAGAGCCAAAAGGAGAGTAGAGGAAAGTAAATGTCAGCATTCTCTCTCTCACGCGGTCTCTCTCTCTCTCTCTCTCTCTCTCTCTCTCTCTCTCTTTTTCATACACACACACACAAACCACACACTCACATCATGCACACACACACCTGCCACAGAGGTGTGTATAAAAATAGACTGTGGGTCAGGTAAGGGGCGAGGGGGCAAGTTAATTTATAATGGAGGTCTCAGGGCAGGCCTGTGGAGAGGAAACATCTACTGTATACTTTGAGCTTCTCACTATTCTCTCTGTCTGTCGCAAACCTCTCTTTATCTGTCTGTCACTCTCCTGTTATCCCTCTCTACCTGTTTTATAGGCCAGGTATTATCTTTAGCTGGGGGTTTATTGAGTTAGCAGGGTTTTCATGGAGCTGTGCGTACGTACGTGCATGCATGCAAGTGTGTTTGTGTGTGAGAGAAGGAGCAGGTTTTTTATCCCAGGAGTACGACAGTGGCTGTGAGGGGTAATGGCAGGATGGTATCAAGATGAATGGTATGGTAAGCCTAGAAGTGCACTGCACTGTTGGGCAATATTGTACAGTTGTCCTTAGCCCAAGGGCTTTTTGATGGGTGAGATACAGATCTCAGTGAACCCCTCTGTGTTCTAAAAGGAAGTAGTCATAACATTATCTTTCCATCTGTTCATTTTGAAAAATGGCTATTGTGCATAAATTCAATCTGCTTCCTACAATACGAGTGTGTGTGTGTGTGTGTGTGTGTGTGTATGTATGTATATATGTATGTATATATGTGTGTATATATGTATGTATGTATATATATATATATATATATTATCTATCCAGCTGACATTCTGTCTCATTGTCTCAGGCTCTCATTCTCTCTACCCCTTCCATCTACTCTCTTCCCCCCTCTCTGTCTCGCTCACTCACACACACACACTCTCTCTCTCTCTTTCTCAACCTCCCTCTCTCTTCCTCTCCATCTCTCTCTTTCATGGTGAGGTTGTTCCCTCCCTCCCTCTCTCCCTACCTCCTCTCCTCAGCAGAGTGCACAGCTAAAGTGTTTTATGGCCAGCGTTGATTTATGTCAATAGGAGTCTATTCTAATTACTACCCCCAGAGCAGTAGTGCCGAGCTGAGAGATGTGGGGAGCGCCCATGTGAGAGTAATGGCTGCTTTTACCCGATCCCTTAACGCCAGCGTGTCTGTGTTATTGCACACACACATTGTCCTCCTGTTGTCTAGTTTGTGTTTAATGTGCCTCCTCACGTTCTGTAATGGTCCCCTCTGTCCTCACAGGGACACACACTGTGGTCATTCTGAAGGTGTGTGTGTGTGTGTGTGTGTGTGTGCGCGCATGCTCGCGCTTTAGTTGCTGTCATAATTTCCATCACTTTATGGGTAAGGAGGAGTGTGTGTGGAGATGGATGGGGTCATACTGACAGATGGCTGCTTCCTTTCACTGAATGTGAATCACTTCTCAATTAACATATTCCTTTCTTTATGAGTAAGAAGGGTGTGTGTGTGCGTCGCTGTCATAATAATTCCCATCTCTTTATGAGGAAGGAAGGACGTGTGTGTCTGTTTGGAGAAGTTGACTCCCCTGAATGTCATAATTGAAAGGTGGAGATGGTCACCTTGGCTGTTAAAGACTTTATTGGCATTTAAAAAAGCCAACCACCTGTACCACTGACCCCTGGGGGGCGGGCTTTTGCATGTCATAGAGCTTGATTGTGCCGAAGGGACCTGGAATGACACACAGCTGGCAAGGTGGGAAAGAACAGCCAATTGAAGGGGTTGCTCTGATGACGTTTGTGCGTGTCAACACCATCCTTGCGCCTCGCCAAATCTCACAAAACAGTAAATACTAAGGGTTCACGTCACTTCAACACGTACTCCACTCATAAGAGGAAGAGCATTTAATCTGTGAGCTTCATTCAGTAAGCTTCCTCTGTTAATGTTGTTATTCACCTCTCCACTTTCACAGCCCAGCGTTTTATATCTCCAACCTCCATTCACTTTGAAATTACAGCATTTCACACACACAGTCAACTCTGTCACAGAACACGGTGTAGGCTACCACATCCTCAGTCCTCCTTTTCTGAAATATGAATATTACATTTGAATCTGATTTGCCGTTTTAGAATGGCTGGGGTGGAATGGGCCGTGCATGTGTGCGCCTTATCAGCACCTACCAGTAGTGCTCCCAGTCATGAATACTGCTCCCTTCATCCTCCTCTCTCACTCAGACCCCCCCCCCCCCCCATACCCGTTCTCTCTGCCCCTCACCTTCCTTACTTACACCCCCTCACCCTCCTCAGCTCTCTACTCCCACTCCTCTCACCCCTCGCCTCCTTTCCCACGTCACTCTTTAATTAAAGGGGCATTTCACCTAATTTCTACAACACAAACAGCATTTGAACGTAAACATTAAAGAGGCGTGTTTCAGTTAGGACTGAGGCTTTGACAGGCAGAGGCATCGTTCTCGAACAACCCTCATTTTAACAACTGAGTGGGGATTCCCCTTCAGGGACACACACACACACTGGTGTTGGTAGTCATAAAGGAGAGATCAGGGGTTAGTGGTAATCCCCAGGTGCTACTGACAGATGGGTCTAGTAGAAGTACTGTATAAGCACTGGAGCATTCCAGGCCTGAGGCCTCGTTCCCTGGCTCCCTCAGCGGTCGGTCTGGATCAAAGACCCAGGATGAGAAGAGTTATTCCCAGAAGGTCAGACATAGCCAGCTGTTGCAGCTGGACAACACCTAATGACTTCCAGTAACAGACACTGGAGCTGGGATTGCCTATAGAACCGCACCTACTGGGGTTTACTGGCTAAGCATTGGACTATGACCGCCCTGACCAACTGTTGTGGTTAGGGTTCAGTCTGTGGCTTGTCTGTAGTCAGTCTGTATGTACGTGGGTGCTTGCAGTGTGAGGTTGAACAGGGACAGAAGTCAACAGAACAGTTGCACTCTGATTTAATACCTCAAACAGCAGCATATGCTTTTATAGATAAGCTATCATAGGTCAGCAGTTTGCTGTGACGATGTGTTGGGAAACTTCAGACAATTCGCTTTTCTTTTATTCTTCGGAACTGCAGCCCGACGTGTGTGCGTGCGCAGACCAGTAAACTATTGCATGGGGTTCATGCGCATACCCCTCTTAAGGGTACAGGGGAAGTGTATTGCACTTATTGCATTGCCATGGATGTTGGTTTTGAATGGCTTCTATATTTGGCACAATGACTTCCTCTCACACATCTCACACATACGCACTCTCACACCCACTTAAGACCTGTACTTGACGCAGCTTTGACACATAGCACAAACATGATGCTAGCCTAATGAAATTAGCTCTTACCGTTAGGCTAGCACTCTGAGGACAGACCTCTGCAATGTCACTGTAAGGATATAGTTACAGTATGCTACGCTATGCTACACCTCTGCAGCAAACCAACCTATAGAGCTGCAGTACATTCTGTCATGGAGCCAGATATATGTACATGAGGGGTGTCAGACGTGGGCCTTTTGAGGTTAAACATAATGGCTTTTCCAGCCATGTTGTTTCCATCCGCAATCGATGATTCAAGATTAGAAATTAAACAAAATCATAATCACTTGTTGTTTTGCCAAGGTACAGTGCATTCGGAAAGTATTCAGACCCCTTCCCTTTTTCCACATTTTGTTACGTTACAGCCTTATTCTAAAATGGTTTAAATAAAACATTGAATTGATGTTTTTTCTCCTCAATCTACACACAATACCCCACAATGACAAAGTGAAACAGGTTTCTATAATTTTTTGCAAATGTATTAAATATAAAAAACAGATACCCTAAGTATTCAGACCCTTTGCTATAAGACTCGAAATTGAGCTCAGGTGCATCCTGTTTCCATTGATCATCCTTGAGAGTCCACCTGTGGTAAATTCAATTGGACATGAATTGGAAAGGCACACACCGGTCTATATGAGATCCAACAGTTGACAGTGAAAACATTTATAGAGAGGATCTGGAAGAAACTCCTATCAGAGAAGAATGGAAGAAACTCCCCAAATACAGGTGTGCCAAGCTTGTAGTGTCATACCCAAGAAGACTTGCAGCTGTAATCGCTGCCAACGGTAATTCAACAAAGTAGTGAGTAAAGGGTCTAAATACTTATGTAAATGTTATATTTCAGTGTATTTATTGTAATTTTTTTTGCAAACACTTCAAAAAACCTATTTTTGCTTTTTCATTATGGAGTATTGTGTGTAGATTGAAGGCTTAAAAAAAAAAAAATTAGAATAAGGCTGTAACGTAATACTTTCCGAATGCACTGTAAGTTTGACAGTAGTTTACAACAAAGTAAAGCTGCCTTTCTGTGTTCTACTCTTTCATGTTGGACAACAGTGGCACTGGGTAGCTAAGAGGTGAGCTGAGACTATGCTCTCCGTGTTCAATCAAAGATGGCCACAGACTGACTCTCTGTCTCGGTCTCTCTCTGTCTGTCTCTACACAAATGGAGAATATATTTTAATGATGTACTTCAGTTACGTTAGTTAACTGCCCCCCCCCCCCCACACTCTGTTGGAGAAACAGCAGTTAACATCAGACCCACCCCCCTCCTTATGAAAGATAACCTACCTTCTCCATCACTAAACCTGGCAGTAGATGAGCTACAGTCAGCCTGAAGAGACGTACAGTACATAACTCTCCCTGGATCTAATAACCTCACTGTCTGATGGACGCCTATGGTAAAGAGATCTGGCTGTTATCATTGGATGAGGGTGGAGGGGTTATGCGTTTGGATTGGGTGAGGGTGATGGTATGGGGGGATTTGGAAAGTGTGCAGTTGGGGGGGGGTCTTCAGAGTGGTTGGTTATATAAGGGTAGCTGTTTGTGTGTGTAGGGAGGGGGAATCTGCTGGTAGAGCAAAGCTGTGACATTCATCACACTCACTGCTTAAGAACACTGGGTATACACCCCTGTGTGTGTGTGTGTGTGTGTGTGCCTCTCATCAGGAGAGCATGTTTGCTGCCTTTCCATCTCTGCTGACAGACGCCTCTCCTGTGATGGGATCTGCTGCTTTGTTGTTGCCTTGTTGAAGCATCACTTCAACTCCCACTACATGGTCATTCTGCTCATTAGGATAGGCTGTTATTAAGAGCCTTCTGCGACTGCCGTCCACGGGTATTTATTTATTTTTTAAATAATTTTAATTTTTTTACATTCCAAAAACAAACTTATACATACGAACAACAACTTACAGAGACACACAAAAACAATGACTACATCTCCTCTGCCCAGACCCGCATGTTCACACCCCCATCCCTACTGGCCTGCATTATTGTTTGCCACTTGGGCTTAAATTGTACCATTCGGTTTTTCTCGGTCGCCCATGCTATTTCAATATTTCAATAATAAATCATTTGATTTTTCCATTGTGTTAATGATGGCGGATTGATTGACTTCCAAGTTTTTAGTATAAATGTTTTCAAGATCAGTGATGAGAAAAGGGGGTCTTTCTAACTGATGCAGACATTTATGTAGAATGTTAGGAACTAAATATTTTTAAGCATAATTGAGAATACATAACGTTATGAACTAAATAGATAGGAAGTAAATATTGCTAAGCATAATTGAGAATACATAGTCCGCTGGCAGTTGGGTTTCAGACTATGTATTAGAAGGATGTAGTTTGTGGCTATTGAAACCCCCCAGTCAGCACACACACTGGTTAGTCACTGTGATGATTAAGATGTCCCTGCAGCAGCAGAACTGTCGGCTGCTGGAGTCGCCCGCGCACACACAGCAGATATCACCGCTCTGATATCTCTTATATCACACACACACACACACACACACACACACACACTCCTTTAGCATCCCTCTATCATCCCTCTCTCCATACTTCTGTCATCCCTTTGTTCTTCTCTCTCCACAGTCCTCCGTTCCTCTCTCCATCACTGGACACAGCAAATAACACAGCCCAGATAAGTCACACAAACTCCTCTACCATCCCCTCGTCCCTCTCTCTCATCCATCTCCCTGTCGTCGTCTCTGTCTCTCTCTGTCTGTGTATGTGTGTAAACCATGACTGCTGCCCTTTCATCTGTTTCCCCACCACCCCATACTTTCTCTCTTCTCTAAGGCGACCGATAATATCTGGGTAATCGTAGACACGTTGGCATCCCAGTAGGTCTAAAGTAGTGTACTACATGTGGAGTATGGTGGGGCTGATCACAGTTGACCAGTGTGCAGGCAGTGGGAGTAGGACGGGTCAGAATAGAGCAGGGATCAGAGGCTGAGCTCTTAACAGGTGTCTGATCATCCACTCTGTTACTTAACAGGATAACTAAGACTTATCCCTGTGTTTCTTTGTTTGCTTGCTTATCCAGGCTTAATGGCTGTGTTCACTCACTCATACACACACTTGCATATATAAACACACACACAGCTGCTCTTCGGATGTCTGAAAGGATACATCGCCTTTGTTAACCCAGACATGCCTTGTAAGTCATAATAACAATGTTCCAAAACAGCTATTAATGTGGTCAATACTGTCCCATGTTGTTCCTCCAGACAGACTTACCTTTCTCAATCAATTCAATTCAAGGGACTTTATTGGCATGGGAAACATATGTTTACATTGCCAAAGCAAATGAAATGGATAAACAAAAGTGAAATAAAAATATTACACTCACACAAGTTCCAAAAGAATAAAGACTTTTCAAATGTCATTGTCTATATACAGTGTTGTAGCGATGTGAAAATAGTTAAAGTACAATATGTAAATATGTTTGTGTTTACAATGGGGTTTGTTCTTCACTGGTTGCCCTTTTCTTGTGGCAACAGGTCACATCTTGCTGCTGTGATTACACACTGTGGTAATTCACCCAATAGATATGGGAGTTTATCAAAATTGGATTTGTTTTCTAATTCTTTGTGGGTCTGTGTAATCTGAGGGAAATATGTGTCTCTAATATGGTCATAGATTTGGCAGGAGGTTAGGAAGTGCAGCTCAGTTTCCACCTCATTTTGTGAGTAGTGTGCACATAGCCTGTCTTCTCTTGAGAGCCAGGTCTGCCTTCGGCGGCCTTTCTCAATAGCAAGGCTATGCTCACTGAGTCTGTACATAGTCAAAGATTTCCTTAATTTGGGGTCAGTCACAGTGGTCAGGTATTCTTTTAGGGCCAAATTTCATTATAGTTTGCTCTGTTTTCTTTGTAAATTCTTTCCAATGTGTCAAGTAATTATATTTTAGTTTTCTCATGATTTGGTTGGGTCTAATTGTGTTGCTGTCCTGGGGCTCTGTGGGGTCTGTTTGTGTTTGTGACCAGAGCCCCAGGACCAGCTTGCTTATGGGACCCTTCTCCGGGTTAATCTCTCTGTAGGTGATGGCTTTAATTATGGAAGGTTTGGGAATCGCTTCCTTTTAGGTGGTTGTAGAATATAACAGCTCTTTTCTGGATTTTGATAATTAGCGGGTATCGGCCTAATTCTGCTCTGCATGCATTATTTGGTGTTTTACGTTGTACACAGAGGATAGTTTTGCAGAGTCTCAATTCCCATTTTGTGAATTCTTGATTGGTGAGCGGACCCCAGACTTCACAACCATAAAGGGCAATGGGTTCTATAACTGATTCAAGTATTTTTTGCCAGATCCTAATTGGTATGTTCCTTTTGATGGCATAGAAGGCCCTTCTTGCCTTGTCTCTCAGATCCTTCACAGCTTTGTGGAAGTTACCTATGGCGCTGATGTTTAGGCCGAGGTATGTATAGTTTTTTTGTGTGCTCTAGGGCAACGGTGTCTAGATGGAATTTGTATTCGTGGTCCTGGCAACTGGACCTTTTTTGGAACACCATTATTTTTGTCTTCCTGAGATTTACTGTCAGGGCCCAGGTCTGACAGAATCTGTGCAGAAGCTGCTGCTGCTGCTGTAGGCCCTCCTTGGTAGGGGACAGAAGCACCAGATCATCAGCAAACCGTAGACATTTGACTTCAGATTCTAGTAGGATGAGACCAGGTGCTGCAGACTGTTCTAGTGCCCTCGCCAATTTGTTGATATACATGTTGAAGAGGGTGCGGCTTAAGCTCTCTCTGACCTCTGTTTATGGTGGTCACTATGGTAACCACAGGAGGGAAGGAATGTCTGAGACTGCGTCAGATACGTCCCCATGCAGCTCCGAGAGAAAGGCCAGAGAAAGAGGCCTAGATGGATATTCTACCCGTAGGCCTCGGCGCCAAAGCGAGCACAGAGGGGTTGTGGGAACAGCCGACAGAGGGGAAGGGGTCAGACACCGAGAGCAAGGGACAGTCACAGAAGGAGAGAGAGTCAGAGAGAGAGATTGTGAGGGAGAGTCAGAGAGAAAGTGAAACGAGTTTAAATGTTAGGCAGAAAAGGTTTCAGAATGATAAGGCACAAGCTCATGCACTGTCTGCGGCCCCTGACCTCGTATACAAGCGCCAAGCCCCCTGTTAGTCAGCCAGGCTACAACAAGGCTAGTGGATGGAAACATGGCGAGGCAATATAACAGGCCAAAAAACCCTCATTAGCGTACACTGCTATCTTTCTCTTTTGGTTTTGGCTCAGCTCGGCTTGGCTAGAATCTCGCTCTCTCGCTCTCTGGCCATGATTCAGGAAAGGAGTAGAGAAACGAGCCATTCTTTTTGTCGGGAAGTGTTGCGTATTTGTCCGTAAAAGGGCGTGCAGTGCTGTTATCGCCTGGCTGAAATGGATAGGGGAGGATTGACTTTCTCTTGCTCAGCTGTACGCAGCACGGCGGAGGGAGGGGAAGCGTGTTTGGCTAGTGGTGCAGTTTCTCCCCCTCCTTACCTCCTGGCTATTTATCTCCTGCTTTATCTGGGTTTCAGCAAGGAACGAAGGACAGCCAGGTCACCGCTACTGTAGCCAGTCTTCTCCCCCAAGTGTGTGTGTGTGCGCCCGCACTGTAGTCACACAGAAAGTTTGATGCTGTGCGGCAGGGCAGAGCTGTGAACATCACTTGGTTTACCATTTATTACAGTTTACACCATGTATAACTCAGACTTCAGTATAGCCAGCTCACTGTAGCCCTCTCTCCCCTCCCTCCTCCTCCTCCCAGGCGGCGGCTGACTTTGCCAAGGCCCATCTGTCGGAGGCGTTGCGTCAGCAGCTCCTGAGCTACGACCGAGAGAAGGAGAAGGATGAGAAGGAGAGCAGCGGTGGTCGGTCCTATCCCTCCATTCTGGAGCAGCAGATCCTGGCTCTGGACAGGGACATGCTGGACAAGCTGTCAGCCGTCCACAACGAAGCAGGTCAGAGGGCAGGGAAGCCAGGGGTTAAAGGTCACAGCCAGCTACCCCTAGCCACTAATCTAGCAACAGTTTATACCTTAATCCTGAACTTAACCATTAAAGGGAAAATATGTACCAATTTATTTTTACAAAAAACTTCCCATGCCTAGAAATACAATGAATAGGCTAGAATGTGTAGAGCTGACTTCACTGTTAGTTGGATGCCTCAGTCTTGAGATCTGTGTTGTACAGTGACTGCAATTCTTTGTTTTGGATTGATTGCACTCATTTCTGCATGCTCAAACAATGTTGTCTAACGAGTGGGCTGTGAAAGACGCACAAATTATGACTCTGCTATGTTTGGGGACTGGCCAGAGTTAGTTGAAATAGCTGTGGTCTTTATGTGACAGTGAGAGCTAGCGGAAATGAAGTCTGTATAAATAGCTGTGGTTCAAGGGTGTGTGAGTGCGTATGTGTATGCATGCATTTGTGTGTGTGTGCACGTAAGTGAATGCATTAGTTTGTATACATGAGTGGGGTAGGCTAGGGGCAGACATGGATTTCTCTTGGACTCTTGTAAGGAAGGAGCCCATTACTAGTGTGATGTTTGCTCACATGGGTTTGCCCATTCCTACGCTTGTTGTTTTTCTAGGAGCCCTTAATTGCTGCTTGCAAAGTATTTCTGACTTTGCTGTACTCTGTTGTTCGGTCGTTTACAGTGGGCTCAGGCTCCGGCCGTGAGCTATTAAAATAGAGCTTTATCTTCATCAGACATGTAGCAATTATCTCTTCTTTCCAAAGAGAAAAGAGGGAGAGAAAGGAAGAGAGAAAGAAAGAGTGCCCACTCCTCAGCTGCCTCCTTAGGGTGGCTTGACAGATACAGTGCCTTCAGAAAGTATTCATACCCCTCGACTTATTTTGTTGTTACAGCCTGAATTCAAAGTTGATTAAATTGATGTTTTTTTCTCACCCATCAACATACAATACACCATAATGACAAAGTGAAAACATATTTTTAGAATCTTTTGCAAATTTATTGGAAATGAAATGGAGAAATATCTCATTTACATAAGTATTCACAACCCTGATTCAATACTTTGTAGAAGCACATTGGCAGCGATTACAGCTGTGAGTCTTTCTAGGTAAGTCTCTAAGAGCTTTCCACATCTGGATTGTGCAACATTTGCCCATTATTCTTTTTTAAATTCTTCATGTTGTGTCAGATTGGTTGTTGATCATTGCTAGACCACCATTTTCAGGTCTTGCCATACATTTTCAAGCTGATTTAAGTCAAAACTGTAACTCGGCCACTCAGGAACATTCACTGTCTTCTTGGTAAGCAACTCCAGTGTAGATTTGTGTTTTAGGTTATTGTCCTGCTGAAAGGTGTCTGGTGGAAAGCAGACTGAACCAGGTTTTCCTCTAGGATTTTGCCTGTGTTAAGCGCCATTCTGTACATTTTTTTATCCTGAAAAACTCCCCAGTCCTTAACGATTACAAGCATAGCCATAACATGATGCAGCCACCACTATGCTTGAAAATATGGAGAGTGGTACCTAGTAATGTGTTGTATTGGATTTGCCCAAAACATAACACTTTGTATTCAGGACAAAAAGTTTCCCACATTTTTTGCAGTATTACTTTAGTGCCTTATTGCAAACAGGATGCATGTTTTGAAATATTTTTATTCTGTACAGGCTTCCATCTTTTCACTATCAACTCCCGAGTGGCGCAGCGGCCTAAGGCACTGCATCTCAGTGCTTGAGGCGTCACTACAGACCCCCTGGTTCGATTCCAGGCTGTATCACAACCGGCCGTGATTGGGAGTCCCATAGGGCGGCGCACAATTGGCCCAGCGTCGTCCGGGTTTGGCTGGTGTAGGCCGTCATTGTAAATAAGAATTTGTTCTTAACTGACTTGCCTAGTTAAATAAAGGTAAAATATTATTTTTTATAAAATTAGGTTAGTATTGTGAGTAACTACAATGTTGTTGATCCATCCTCAGTTTTCTCCTATCACAGCCATTAAACTCTGTTAACTGTTTTAAAGTCACCATTGGCGACATGGCGAAATCCCCGAGCGGTTTCCTTTCTCTCCTGCAACTGAATTAGGAAGGACGCCTGTATCTTTTGTAGTGACTGGGTGTATTGATGCACCATCCAAAGTGCAATTAATAATTTCACCATGCTCAAAAGGATATTCAATGTTTTGTTATACTTTTTTTTTTTAAGTACACCCATCTCAATTTTATCCATTTTAAAACACAACAAAATGTGGAAAAAGTCAAGGGGTGTGAATATTTCTTAAGGCACTGTATATAGGCTGAGAGGGTATAGAGTTACATGATAAAGGGAAAGAGGACAAAAAGAGAAAGGGTTGGAAAGAGACAAAGGCCCAGTGTATGGAACGGAGAGAGAGAAGAGTATAAGTGACAAAAATAGGGATGGAGACAGTGTAATGATGAAGAGATAACAGAAGGTGATACTGAAAGGGGAAGGGTGTAGTCCTGAACTCCTAGAGAGAGATGGAGCTTCATCCGTCTTCACCTCCACCCACACTCGTTTAGCACCTACAGGACCAAAGAGCAGTGGGAGGGAAAGCCTTGAGGGAGAGAACGCGAGGGGGAGAGAACGCGAGGGGGAGAGAAAGCGAGGGGGAGAGAGAAGTTGTCACAACAGATGCACTGATGGTTTATTCAGAATGTAGGGAAGAGAAAAGAGAGCTAGAATATTCATGATGAGCCGGCGGTAAAAACTCGCTTCACACACTGCGATTTCAGGAATGCAGCACACGGAATGTCTCTGCCTCTCTCCGGGTATTCCTTATCCTGACATTCTAACTTAATGTTCAGTGTGGGAGGTGAAGAAAGGTAGGGAGTCCGAGGAAGAGAAAAACTAGTGCGAGCGATGAAGAGATCAAGAGGGAGGGTGTCTACGGAATATATACTAAACAAAAATATAAACGCAACATGCAACAATTTCAAAGATTTTACAGTTCATATGAGGAAATCTGTCAATTGAAATAAATAAATTAGGCCCTAATCTATGGATTTCACATGACTTGGAATGCAGATATGCATCTGTTGGTCACAGATACCTTAAAACAAATGGGCATCACAATGGGCCTCAGGATATCTTCACGGTATTTCTGTGCATTCAAATTGCCATTGATAAAATGCAATTGTGTTCATTGTCTGTAGCTTATGCCTGCCCATACCATAACCCCACCACCACGATGGGGCACTCAGTTCACAACGTTGACAACAGCAAACTGCCCGCCCACACGATGACATACATGTGGTCCGCGGTTGTGAGGCTGGTTGGATGTACTGCCATATTCTCTAAAACAACGTTGGATGCGATATATGGTAGCGAAATGAACATTCAATTCTCTGGCAACAGCTCTGGTGGACATTCCTGCAGTCAGCATGCCAATTGCATGCTCCCTCAAAACTTGACACATCTGTGGCATTGTGTTGTGTGACAAAACTGCATATTTTAGAGTGGCCTTTTATTGTTCCCAGCACAATAATAATAATAATAATATGCCATTTAGCAGACGCTTTTATCCAAAGCGACTTACAGTCATGCATGCATACATTTTTGTGTATGGGTGGTCCCGGGGATCGAACCCACTACCCTGGCGTTACAAGCGCCGTGCTCTACCAGCTGAGCTACAGAGGACCACAAGGTGCACCTGTGTAATGATCATGCTGTTTAATCAGCTTCTTGATATGCCACACCTGTCAGGTGGATGGATTATCTTGGCAAAGGAGAAATGCTCACTAACAGGGATGTAAACAAATTTGACATTTGAGAGAAATAAGCTTTTTGTGCATGTGGAACATTTCTGGAATCTTTTATTTCAGCTCATGAAACATGGGACCAACACTTTACATGTTGTGTTTATATTTTTGTTCAGTGTAATTTTTACATATTAACTTATTATTCTGAGTGGGTGGGGGAGAGAGTGTATTGTCCTATAGAGTGTACAGAACACTATAATAGTTTATTCACAGCACAGAACCTGTGACTCAGATGAGTAGCTGGTATAAAAGGGCCATTCAAGCTGTCAGGCAGTGTCAGTCACGTTCTACTGGAGGTCATGTGACACCATAATCGTAAATGTAGAATGGACCAGTGTTGAACCCGAGACCATAACAAGCTAACTCCCGGTCTGGGGGCAACAGTTGACTTTTAGGTAGTCCCAGGCAAGGTTGCTCCTCCTGCGACGTGCCCACTTAGCGAAGGCACTACCTCTCTTACACTCATTGACATTTACATTTTAGTCATTTAGCAAATGCTCTTATCCAGAGCGACTTACAGTAGTGAGTGCATACATTTACATACGGGTCCCCCGTGGGAATCGAACCCACAACCTTGGCATTGCAAGCGCCATGCTCTACCAGTTGAGCTACACAGGACCACTCACCTCCCTTTGACCTCTTACTCTCCAGAGCAACCCCAGCTGCTGATACAAATCTATTGTGTGATCTGTGTCAACCTCAGAGTCTAGAGGTACTGGATAAGAGCATTTGCTACTAGCCTACCCACAAGTCCACTGATCCAGTCCCATCTGCCTCCCATCTCTCCCAGCCCTCCCATCTCTCCCAGCCCTCCCATCTCTCCCAACCCTCCTTTCCCTCCAAAGCAACATGACCTGTTGATTCCCAGACTGAGGTTTCAACCGTCGCCTCCTAGCCCCATTCTGTTCATTATCCTCCCATATTTCACTCATCCCCTTGCTTGGACGACAGTAAACCGGATTAAGATTGAGCCCAAAGATTGTCTTACCGTAAAGCTACACTACATAAAAAAAGAAAGTCGTGCTTTTGAGTTGTTTCAAAGCATCAGTCAGCCATGTATTGAATTGGCTCTGAGTTTTCTGCCCAACTGCCTCCCCGAGTCTTGGGGGGGGATCAGTTGGACTGGTAATTGTTATTGATTGTTGTCCTTGTATCTGATTCAGCGGGTAGATCATTTGGGGACTGGAGCTTTGAGCTTTTGTTATAATCAGGACGAGCAGAGAGTCCTCAGGACAACCTCATATCAGATGTATCCCTCTCTCCTCTCATCCATCCATTGTTTATCTGGGAACAATAGAAGGGAAAAGAGAAGTGTGAGAGGCCTCTGATGAAATGGCCAAGTCTATTCAACCCATCTTTTTAATAGTGAGTTATTTATTGAACCTTTCTTTGGCCTGGTATGTCCTAGAGGACAACTACTCTTTTATAGTCGGGACATGGGGTTAGCAGGGAAAAGCTGATATCTAGACCAGCTGGAGCACAGGATGTATGGGGAAGCTATTTCTTTTGGACTGGGTAGTAGACAATGGCATGGACATAGTCATGTGCACACACTAAAGTAGGCTAATTGGAGAAGTTGACGTGCCCAGGCCATGACTAATGTTCAGCAAAAAGAGAGCGGAACAGGGTAGAGCCTAGCTAATTGAACAATAGAGCTAGCCTAGGTATGTTAGGTTAATTTGAAGACGTGAACTAGCGCAGATATGCAAGGCTAATTTGGAGAAGTCAGTTTGTGTAGGTATGCTAAGTTTAATTGGAGTTGTGGATGTGCACAGGGCAAAGTTGAGCTAATCAGAGATTGGTATGTGTGTGCTAGGATGATGGTTTAATTGGGGAAGGGTGTGCTTGCAGGGCAGTGCAGCCCATTTTCTCCATCACCACGGGAACCCGATAAAAATAATGAACTGGACGGCATGGCACAGAGAGGAGAGGATTAGACACACAGAGATGAAAAGATAGAATAGCTCATTTTTGTCTACCACTTTCCCTTCTTGTTTCTTGCCTCTCTCTCTGGCTCTGTTTTCTGTTTGTGTTGTCATTTTTCCCTCACCCAAAGCTATAAATGGGAATAAGAAAATCACTGTCCTGCTGAGAAGTAATCTAATTTTCCCCTCACTCTCACTCCCTCTCTTCCTCTTTTTATTGTCGCTCTCTGCATCTCTCACCCCCTTTTTCTCTCTCCAGTTGGCTCGGTGCATCTTTGCCTCTAAAATTATTGAATTGAATAAAAAAACACCGCCAGGGAGCTGGACCTGTTTAATTTCCTCACTAAGCCCTGAAATGGCAGAGTATAACCCAATTCCTGCAATGGAAAATCACAATCATAAGTGTGGACATGCAATGTAGGCGCAGGGTTGAAACTAAAGGCAGGTTCAGTTCATTCAATGAAATGGACCTCCCCTCACTCCCTCTCCCTGCCAGTCCTAAAGCCTCTCTCCTCCTTGGGGTGGTCCAGTCAGATGTCCCCATCCCCCCTCTGTCCTGGTTCTGAGTTGTGTGGTGTGCAAACAGACAGATGGTCAAACAGACTGGTCTGTTCTCAATGCAAGGCCTTGGATCTCAGACAATGGGCTTCAGTCTCAGCCCAGAGACAGGGAAACCAAACAAAGAAGGGAAAGGGAGAAGAAAACAACCCAAAGAAGAGGACATGTTTTGAAGTGCTGTTTTCAAAGGGCTGTGGCTGTGCATTGTTGGAGAGAGTTTGTTTGTGCAAGCAGACGCTATAGATCACATGTGTCAGACTCATTCCACGGAGGGCCGAGTGTCTGCGGGTTTTCGCTCCTCCCTTGTACTTGATTGTTGAACTATGGTCACTGATTAGAGAGGGACGACCCTCGCCTGGTTGAAATGAGGTTGACACCCCTGCTATAGTGTGTCTTTGGCAGTCTTTGACAATAGGATGTTCAAGTTCTATTCTAGATTAACATGGGTGGATTTTCTCTCTTTCCTATCCTCCCTCTCTTCTATCCTCCCTCTCTTCTATCCTCCCTCTCTCAGGTACCACATGTCTGGTGGCCCTGCTGTCTGATAAAGAGTTGACGGTGGCGAACGTTGGAGACTCGCGCGGAGTCCTCTGTGACAAAGACGGCAACGCCATCGCCCTGTCACATGATCACAAGCCCTACCAGCTCAAAGAACGCAAGAGGATCAAGAAGGCTGGTGAGCAAAAGGACATGCCTTAATAACTGGTTTAGGATCAGTTCTCTCCACCACTAGCCATGATCTTAAACATTATAGATGAAACTACACAACTATCCCTGGTTCAGCTGTTATATTGTAGCTTCATTTGCCTCTGCCAAATGAAGATCCCCCCCCAAAAAAATATATATATACATACAGTATCTCACAAGTGAGTACACCCCTCACATTTTTGTAAATATTAAAGTATATATTTTCATGTGACAACCCTGAAGAAATGACACTTTGCTACAATGTAAAGTAGTGAGTGTACAGCTTGTATAACAGTGTAAATTTGCTGTCCTCTCAAAATAACTCAACACACAGCCATTAATGTCTAAACCGCTGGCAACAAAAGTGAGTACACCCCTAAGTGAAAATGTCCAAATTGGGCCCAAAGGGTCAATATTTTGTGTGGCCACCATCATTTTCCAGCACTGCCTTAACCCTCTTGGGCATGGAGTTCACCAGAGATTTACAAGTTGCCACTGGAGTCCTCTTCCACTCCATGACGACATCACGGAGCTGGTGGATGTTAGAGAACTTGCACTCCTCCACCTTCCGTTTGAGGATGCCCCACAGATGCTCAATAGGGTTTAGGTCTTTAGACATGCTTGGCCAGTCCATCACCTTTACCCTGAGCTTCTTTAGCAAGGTGTGTTTGGGGTCGTTATCATGTTGGAATACTGCCCTGCGGCCTAGTCTCCGAAGGGAGGGGATCATGCTCTGCTTCAGTATGTTACAGTACATGTTGGCATTCATGGTTCCCTCAATGAACTGTAGCTCCCCAGTGCCGGCAGCACTCATGCAGCCCCAGACCATGACACTCCCACCACCATGCTTGACTGTAGGCAAGACACACTTGTCTTTGTACTCCTCAACTGGTTGCCGCCACACACGCTTGACACCATCTGAACCAAATAAGTTTATCTTGGTCTCATCAGACCACAGGACATGGTTCCAGTAATCCATGTCTTTATTCTGCTTGTCTTCAGCAAACTGTTTGCGGGCTTTCTTGTGCATCATCTTTAGAAGAGGCTTCCTTCTGGGACGACAGCCATGCAGACCAATTTGATGCAGTGTGCGGCATATGGTCTGAGCACTGACAGGCTGACCCCCCACCCCTTCAACCTCTGCAGCAATGCTGGCAGCACTCGTACGTCTATTTCCCAAAGACAACCTCTGGATATGACGCTGAGCACGTGCACTCAACTTCTTTGGTCGACCATGGCGAGGCCTGTTCTGAGTGGAACCGCTGTATGGTCTTGGCCACCGTGCTGCAGCTCAGTTTCAGGGTCTTGGCAATCTTCTTATAGCCCAGGCCATCTTTATGTAGAGCAACAACAACAAAAATCTGATCCTCAGAGAGTTCTTTGCCATGAGGTGCCATGTTGAACTTCCAGTGACCAGTATGAGGGAGTGTGAGAGCGATGACACCAAATTTAACACACCTGCTCCCCATTCACACCTAAGTGAAAATGTCCAAATTGGGCCCAATTAGCCATTTCCCCTCCCCGGTGTCATGTGACTCGTTAGTGAGGGGAAATGGCTAATTGGGCCCAATTTGGACATTTTCACTTAGGGGTGTACTCACTTTTGTTGCCAGCGGTTTAGACATTAATGGCTGTGTTGAGTTATTTTGAGGGGACAGCAAATTTACACTGTTATACAAGCTGTACACTCACTACTTTACATTGTAGCAAAGTGTCATTTCTTCAGTGTTGTCACATGAAATATATATATACTCAAATATTTACAAAAATAAATAAATAATCTGGAGCAGTATCCATGACTACTCACACGACCTTGATCTCAGATTATTATCTTAACGTTTCCTTGATTTCATCATAGCTTTATATAGATCAGGGGGGGCAGTGAGTGAGGAATGGAATGCACTCCTCAAGAAAGCCCCAAAAAACGTCTACAGAGCCCATTGGCCTGTGATGTAATTATCATTTGTATACTGTTTCATATTCTCCTTAATGTGAACGTGATTTTGATTACATTGAGCCTTTAGTCAAATTGGTAACAAATCAAGTAGGACACACAGCTGTTATTGGTGGCTGTCCATAGCTCACCATTGCCATCTACAGGTTGCTGTGGGTAGTGGAGCTGCAAATAAGTAATGACAGCGAACTGGGTAAGCTAGTTGGCTAGCAGTTTCCAGTAACTGACCTAAATAACTGTGTCAGTGGTCATAAGTTCACACCAGCTGCCATGACCATCTACAACATCTGCTCTGTCATTATTATGACAGTGGTATTATGTAGCTATTATGATGCAGGGTTCAAGTTAAGGGTAACCCTGTGTTTCCCTCCCGTTGAGGATGGCTTCCAAGTAAAGCCTTTTATCCAGTGTGTTCCTCTGATTCCTCTTCATGGGTAATTCTCTGGTGCTCTGACAGTGGGAGAGAATACAAACAGACAGAGACACACAGGCTACGCAGCCCTCTCTTGTGTATACTGTTTATTTTTCTGCTTTACCTTTGAACTTCAGTATGTGAACTGTGTCCAATGTAAACCATTCTGTCGGTGAAAGGATGTTAAACCAAAGAAAACACATTTGGTACGATGATCCATTTATTTTTTTCACCCTTCACTTGAATGGCTTCACACTGTAGTTGATAAAGATGAATGGATCTGCTCATGGGCTGAGGAACACAAAAATGTATTTTCTCTTCATCCCATGTGCTGTAACTCTCTGTCATCCATCCTCCCCCCTCCAGGTGGCTTCATCAGTTTCAACGGTTCGTGGCGTGTTCAGGGCATCCTGGCCATGTCTCGCTCGTTGGGCGACTACCCTCTGAAGAACCTGAATGTGGTCATCCCTGACCCCGACATCATGACCTTTGACCTAGATAAGCTGCAGCCAGAGTTTATGATCCTGGCGTCGGACGGGCTGTGGGATGCGTTCAGCAACGAGGAGGCCATACGCTTCATCAAAGAGCGCCTCGACGAACCCCACTTTGGCGCCAAGAGCATCGTCCTGCAGTCTTTCTACCGCGGGTGCCCAGACAACATAACCGTCATGGTGGTCAAGTTCAAAGGTGCCAGTGGCAAGGCCGCAGAGCAGTAGACCTGCTGATGCATCCAAACGAGAAATCTATATTATATATGAATATATGTACTGTATGTATATGCATAGGTTTAAGAGAAATGAGAAAACAAGCCTGCAGTTTTTGGAGTGAGAACTGTTTGTATCGAAGATATTTACAGAAATTAGCCATTCACCACCATGATGCAAACACTAAAATGTACACCTACAAATTCACTCACGCTCTCGAACAGTCACTTGTTTAGATTTTTCTTCAATCCACATAACGTGTCATTTATGTTTTTAGTTTTTTTTAAAGCAGTCATATCCTCAGACCCTACACTGAGTCACTATTTGCGTAAGAGGTACACCGAGATATCAACATAATTTGAAGTCGAGACAGAGGCAGTGATTTATACATCTCTTAGAAAACCTTTATCAGCAGATGTCTCATCTGATTGGTGCTTACATACATCAGAGCACCTGTAACTGGACACCTGTTTGGTTAGCCGGAGGGGGTAAATAGTTTGTCTGTTTTAAAGAGAGCTGAGACTAGACAAACGTAACTGTGTTCTCTTCTGTTTTGTCTGGCATGGCCTATTTTTTGGGGGCCAATCAAACAGACAATGTGACTGATTGGATTAAGATGGCATTATGAGATGGGTACATGCTCTGCAGTCCTAATCAATGGACTGTTGTTGCATGCATGAGTGCATCATATCAAATGAGTCTTATAGAAATCACATTCAGTTTGATGCTTCACTGTCACCCCTTGATTTCTAACATTGTTCTGTCATTCTAAACATTGGCCATCTTGTCTGTCGGCTCCATAGACATTCAAACCAGTCAGCTCCCGATCTCCGTGTTGATTATTGACCTGCAGTTGAGTAACCCCAAATGACTGCACTGAAAATTGCAACTGTATTTTGAAGTTCTTAAGTTTATTGGTACTAAATATAATCGATTCCTTTCCTCATTCATGCAGACTACTAATGATGTCATCTATGCCTGTCTGTCGACAACAATCTGTGTATAACCCTCTGCCCAGAATGCATTTCTATAACTCTAATCCCCTGTTAACTCTGATCTAGGAATGAGTGGCACTTTGACACTAGTTGCACAAACGTTTGCACCATGCTGTTATATTAATGTTATGTCAGTCTTTTTGAATTAAGTATACAAATTAATTTTCACAGGCGCGGTGGCATTGTACTGTTTGAAAAGCCTACACGTCTTTATTCTGATCATTGGCAGCCGATTGTCTTTCTGAAGTTGGGTTTAGTTCTATGGTCTCATGCTCCCTCTACATCAGGGTTCTCTGGGGTGGGAGAGTACATATGAAAAAGACCGTCACTGCCTGTCATATTGTACAGTTAACTTTTTTTGTTTATTTCTGTAAACTGACTCAAAACGTAATATGAAGCCTTTGAATGAAATATGTACTTGTTGCCTTATTTTTTTAAATATAAATTTCCTCATGAATTTGTTGCCAAAATGAACTCCTTGGTTTCTAATGTAACCTTTGTTAAACATGCCATGCACATCGCATGTAGATATCATATCTCACATATAGAATAACATCACAGATGTCTCCATGAGACAAGGAAGTGTCACATGAATGTACATACTGTTCCCATGTTATCCTCCCCCTCCACATCTGTAATGAAGAAAGCAATGCACCAACTCTTTGGTTGATTAACAAAAGAGGTATTTACTAGATTAGTATGTTTTTATGTGCTTTTTCAGTTTTACATTCTTCCAAAATAATGTATGTTACAGAATGTTTTAGTTTAATTTAAGAAACTAAAAAAAGAAAGATCTGTGAATTTTAAGATGAAATCAAACAGATAACATTAAAAGGATTAATGATCATAACATTGTATTATTTCGTCTTCATTCATGGGAGAAAAAACTGATGAGAAATTATGTTTGAGAGATCTGCAAATACAGTATATTTCAATGACCATGCTTGATAGTGCTGGTGAGTGGCCTAAAGAAGCCTGATCATGCCACCTGTCGGTTTGTCACTAGCAATAGTTTTGTTCAGCATTTTTTCTATTTGATTTTGTACGGTAAACGGGATACATTGTGGTAGATGTTGACTGGGTAAATCCAGGTAACACTTTACATTAAGGTATACTTAAAATAATTTATAATGGTCTTTATAAGTATTTTATAAACTGAATTATTAGTTTGTTTTATAAATCTATAAACTGTTAGAATACATTGTGTGATTGTGTTTTGACCTGACAATTCACGTGCCCTGTTTTCAGCACTTTGAACTGCACTATCTATACTGAACAAAAATATAAGTGCAACAATTTCAAAGATTTTGCTAAGTTAGTTCATATAAGGGAATTAGTCAATTTAAATAAATTCATTAGGCTCTAATCTATGGATTTCCCATGACTGGGTAGGGGCACAGCAATGGATGGGCCTGGGAGGGCATAGGCCCACCCACTTGGTAGCCAGGCCCAGCCAATCAGAATGAGCTTTTCCCCACACTGGAGAGCCAGGCCCCCCATCCCCCCTCTGACGATTCTGCAGGTGAAGAAGCCGGATGTGGAGGTCCTGGGCTGGGGTGGTTACACAAGGTATGCGGTTGTGAGGCCGGTTGGACGTACTGCCAAATTCTCTAAAACGACGGAGGCAGCTTATGGTAGAGAAATTAACATTCAATTCTCTGGCAACAGCTCTGGTGGATGTTCCTGCAGTCAGCATGCCAATTGCACGCTCCCTCAAAACATGACAGATCTTGGGCTCCTGAGTGGCGCAGCGGTCTAAGGCACTGCATCTCAGTGCTTGAGGTGTCACTACAGACCCCCTGGTTCGATTCCAGGCTGTATCACAACTGGCCGTAATTGGGAGTCCCATAGGGCAGCGCAGAATTGGCCCAGCATCATCCAGGTTTGGCCGGTGTAGGCCGTCATTGTAAATAAGAATTTGTTCTTAACTGACTTGCCTAGTTAATTAAAATAAAATACATCTGTGACAAAACTGCACATTTTAGAGTGGCCTTTTATTGTTCTTAGCACAAGGTGCACCTGTGTAATGATCATGCTGTTTAATCAGCTTCTTGATATGCCACACCTGTCAGGTGGATGGATTATCTTGACAAAGGATAAAATGCTCACTTACGGATCTAAAGAAATTTGTGCACAACATTTGAGAGAAATAAGCTTTTTGTGTGTATGGAACATTTCTGGGATCTTTGATTTCTGCTAATGAATCATGGACCAACACTTTACATGTTGGGTTTATATTTTTGTTCTGTGTAGATAAATGGGTGTAGCCTTAGCCTACAATATAGACTATATATGATTTATTATATGATTTGTACTGGTGATACTAATCATGACATTTATGTTTGAACAATAGACCAGCCTATTTATAAAGGGGACTATGAAAGTTCTCATGCTATGCTGCCTGGAATCTACACCCTCAGCCAACTACCCCAAATGGTTTTGTTGTGACGGAGTGCTGGTCTGGCATGTTGTGGATTCAAAGATACTGTAACTGTATGATGTAACCCGCTAACCATACAGGCCAGTATGATGTAACCCACTAACCATACCCATGACCTACTGGTCTAAAACGGTCACTCTGATGCCATTTCCAGGAGACAGTCACTCAGGAAGCAACACAAACCCCCCTACGCCCTAAAAAGGACTTCCTGCTGAGTGTGATGGTCTGAAGCAGGTGTGACTCCCTCAGCGGTGCAATAGTAATAGAAGACACTGAGAGGCTCTAACCTGAACCATCAGAGACATAAAAAGCTTTACCAAAAGCTGCGTAATGACTTGGGCATCTTACTACAATGGAGGGAGGGGTCTTGCTGCCTCCTCGGTGTACATAAGTCATTCTGATTTGCACCCTGCCTTTATAAGAGGGGATTCATCACAGCCAGAGCTCAGAAACAGACAGAGCTTACAGAGCAGAGCACAAAGTAACTGCAGGCAGGGCAGAGCATTGCTGCACAGAACTGAGGCAGTAACAATAACACAAGTCAGCCTTCTTCTCCAGACAACAGGACCTGTGTTTGGGTTGAGCATGGGACTGCATGGGTCTAAGCACCCTCAGCAGGCTCAGATTGTGATGCTGGGCCTGGACGGCTCGGGGAAGTCCACCCTGCTCTACAAGCTCAAGTACAACGAGTCTGTCGTCACCGTGCCCACCGTGGGCTTCAACATGGAGATGCTGGAGACGGAGGTGAGGGGTCCGGGGTTGACCGTGTGGGACGTGGGAGGCCAGCAGAGGATGAGGCCCCACTGGAAGCACCACTACCCGGGCACGGAGGCCCTGGTGTTTGTGGTGGACAGCTGGGACCGCAGGCGTCTGGAGGAGGCAAAGAAAGAGCTCCATCTGGTCATTATTATTTATTCATAATCCAACTTTTTATACAATTCTGGTTTGTCCAGCCATGTTCTGGGAGGACTGGTGTGGGCCTGGAGGAAGGCTTCAGAAGGGTTGCCTATCTGTTGAAGACTTCACTAAAGCAGACTGATACGGATATAAAGAGCACAGCAAAACAACTGAAAGACAAAAGGCCTGGGCTGCAGTTAGGACCAGTGATTATAAAACTATGTGGATGGGTGTAATAATCTCCCTTGGATTATTTTGTATTTTTCTTCAGGATTATGTTGAGCAGAGTCCATGAAGATTTAGAATGCCCTGTGTTGGATCATTCTGACCCAGTCATACTTGAATATGGGAACAAGACTCTCCAGAACAAACTTGAGATCACAACCTATCTCACGCTGAAAGCTAATATTTTGCACGTTTGTTGATTGTTCAAAAGTGTGGTATGATTTTGATACAGCGATGTGAATTTCTGCATTTCCTTGTCATTTTTTAAATTATAAATAAAAAACCACTGTAGCCTCATTGTTATTGAAGGTGTTACTTTCCAAGGCAGAAATATAAACTATTGAATACTTGACATAGTCTTTACATTTACATTTTAGTCATTTATGAGACGCTCTTATCCAGAGCGATTTACAGGAGCAATTAGGGTTAAGTGCCTTGCTCAAGGGCACGTCGACAGATTTTTCACCTAGTCTGCTCGGGGATTAGAACCAGTGACCAGAATCAGATGCAATGCATTTAGCCTGCACAGTTATTTTGAAGACTAATTTATCTGGAGCAAACACGGGAATAATGCAAGTATTCAAATGGACTGAACTACAACATCACAAATCACAAACCCCTCATGAGACAGCAATATGCAACATTTATAGACTTCTTTGGTTTAGAAATTACACGTTTAGACACAGGGGTAGTAGGCCTATACCACATACAATGATTGAGAGATGATACCGATTGGCTATAAATTGAATGCACCAATGTGTAAATCGCTCTGGATAAGAGCGTCTGCTAAATGATGTAAATGTAAATCTCAAAATAGTGTGTGATATCTGTGGATTAGAATGATAAACATGTCCCAAAACAGTGCTTCCATAATGGTATGTCCCATACATTCCATTAAAATAGGTAGAGTTAAATTGGAATTGGCTCTGTAACAAATTTGATTTTAGTTCCATGTTCAACATTCTAGAATCTACATAAGTGTTTTTTCTAGGATACATTTTTTTTATGAAACTGGAGAACTTTTCTCATTAGACAACTTGGTATTACCCTGGAAATATTAATTAAGTGTTCAGCAAATGGACTTGCAGGTATGTATGCCTATACACTATGAAGCTCACTGTAATGCACAACATAGTTGTTTTATGTTGAAAACAACATATTTGATGGTATCTATCTTACTTTCGCTAATTGTAACAGTCATAGCTAACGTTAACGACTAACGTTAATTTACAGTTGTAATGTTACTAGCTATGTGCTTGTAGCCTATTCTGGATGTCCATTCACATTGTTAACGTTAATGTATTATTTGATATAGATACGCAGAGTGTAATTTGGTATATCGTGTATTATCCTTATGTGTAATATTCTAATTAGAAAAGATTGTGAAGTTAAATAACACTTTTGACATTTTACATTGGCACTTGGTGCCTAGCTACGTTACTGAGTGTTGCCATAGTGATGAATATTGATAGTTTCAGGGTCAAGGAGGCAACAAAACACAACTTGATATGTATTACTGATGGCACCGATATGGAAGAAGTCTATATCGATATCAATATATCAGTATAGGACTAGTAACTGTTTAGGCCTAACGCTTTACCAGAATGCACTGATTGACAGCTCATAACGTTAATGTTACTCAATCATGAGACTATAGAAGAACTTTCATGCCCACTATTTGTAGAATTTATTGATGATAATAATCTGAGATACAGTGTGGTGGTCTGAACTACCACAGCGCAACCTAGTGAGGGTTTAAAATAATAATAACCTCTTCGCAAAACCAATGAGTGAGCAATAAGGGGAATTCCCCACCCTTCTACGCCAGAGCGAGGCTGTTCATCTACCACCGGCATTCCCAGTATGCACCGCGGACAGACCAGCAAAAAATTATCCGGTAACTGAAAGGCCTGAGAAAAAAAGAACTTGAAAGGGGTAGCTGCTAGCTAATTAATTTCAAACGGTGTTAAAACATAGCTAAAATTGCTAACATGGCTGACAACGAGAAACTAGACAACCAGCGGCTGAAGAATTTCAAGAACAAGGGTCGCGATTTGGAGGTAAAGTATTCTGATTCCGTCGAAGGGTCCCCTTTCGTATGCGCTATTTTGTTGCTTGGGGCTGCGCTGTGTGACGTCGTTTGTAATTTTCAGGATCTGGAACTTTGCACCAAGCCCAAACCAGGCCTTATCTGATCGTCAAATAGATAGATCAAGGCTTTTCTATCCATCCACCCGACTTTCTGAATCTGAATAAAAGTAACCCTCAACACGTGAAACGTCCCATGCTAAGCTAACCGAGCTAGCAACGACTTCCAGTTCTATCTAAGCTAGCTAACTACAGGCCGTGATAGCAATGGGACACTGACAAACACGCTGTTCTAGCTAGTTATATTTGCTATTCGACAGTCATCTGAAATGTAGTTGGGTACCTGTGTCAGACAGCCCATCCAGTTTGGTTTTGAGGTTTGGAATTGACATGCCTACCCACATCTTTTCGGGGGATAATTTGATTAACTAAACGAGATTCGTATCCCGTTCTAACGACGGCGCTAGTCAGCCATCTCAGTGGTTTGAATTAGCTAACGTTAGCTAGCTAGGTATGTAGTTAGCTAGCCAGCTATAATGTACCACCCACTCCTCCCCGACTATAGCTTGCTGGCTATGTCATGTAGTTAGCTAGTTAACTAATGTATACGCAATTATCAGATGGTATATATCGTTAATTATATAAAAGTAGCCAGTAAGATTTTGAAACTGGTAGTTACCGTTGGCCAACTTGGCTAGCTACTTAACTAATGACCTCAAAGGGGAAATTACGCAGTAAGAACCTCAACTATACTAGCTAGCTGGTCAGCTAACGTCAGCTAGATCAACTTAGCTAGCTAACGGTAGCCACCCAACTGAGTTTATTTGATTTTAGCTTCGTACTTAGTTGTTCTAAGTGTCAAATGTAATGGTAAATGTTAGCCTCTTACTAGTTAACAGCTCCATTAACTACAAATCTTTAAATATTTCTGGTTAGCCAGTACCCGCTGATGGTAGCTAGCTAGGTTAGTATCTACCCTGCTAGCGTAGTTCATCAAAACAATGGCGGAATTTAGTTGGTCAGGGCCCCTTTACAGGCCTTGGCAGACCCATAACGAAAGTTATAGCCATTGTGAGGTAGGTAGATGGATGGATAGGCTGCAAGTGTAGGAGAGTTCAACATTAACGTTACATTATACTAACCAGTGTTTTCGCTAGTTTTGGAAGACAACATCGGGAGTCCGTGTGGTTGGACTCCCTGAGTTGTAAATCGTTCTGGTGGGTGGCGACAGAAAATACGTTTCCTGTCAACAAAGGCATATGTATAATCTCTAGAAACTACTTACCAGATGTAAAGTGAAATGTGACCCTTGCTATCAAATATATATATATATATTAATCCAATTTTTGTCCGAACTGCACCATATTCCTGCTGTGTACTGTGGTAGGAAGTCTCGTGTGTGGTCTAATGGCAGCCCGCTGTCTAACTCAACAGGAATAAGGTGCTGTTCAGACAAAAGTTGGATTCAGACGTTTATTTGATAGCGAGGGACACATTACACTTTACATTTGGTATGTAGAGTTCCTAGAGATTATGCACATGCCTTTGTTGACAGGGAATTTTTTTTTTTTGGTGAGGCCATATTGTGGTAGGGTTATTTTACATCGCCAGCCATCAGAATGATCCACAGCTAGGGGAGTCCAACCAATACACAGACTCCCGATGTTGTGTCCTAAAGCTAGTTTGCACCCCGGCTGGAACAGTCTGGGGGGAAGGGCACCATACCGACACACAAGGCTTCTTTAACTTAGCTACATTTTCAGTTCAAACTAGTGGAAGCAAAATGATTATAGGCAAGGGGAACAGATGATAGAGGAACAATTATACTAGCTAGGCCTGTGTGTTATGGTGTTTCAGCTAGATGGTCAGGAAATCCTGTTGTCTTTGTATCCGGTTTGACAAGAAGTGCGTTTCTCTTTTTAATGAAGTAATATGGCTAGTCAACGGCAGGGGCATTGTTTGCGGTTAACCACTAACGTGCATAACTAGGCTATATCACACCTAGACATGATAGAAGTGCTGCACTGTCTCCCACTTCACTGTGAGAGGGAAAATTAATAATTTTCTAAGAAGGAAATGGGCAGGGCCCTCTTAGACAGAAGGAAGAATTTAACCTAATCCGATCATGACAAATGGCCAAATGCCTGTATGTTATGATAGCAAATTACTTAATGAGGCCTTATCAAAAACGTCATGTCTGTCAATCAGGTGCTTGAAAATTGTCCCCCGTAATACCACTCATTATTAACATGAACCATTACATACAAAACACCAGGCCTGGAGCAGTTGAGATCTGTGTTAAGTCAGTCTATTTAAACGGTGTCAGTGTCATAATGTGAGTGTGAGCTGGTGATTTCAGGCAGTGGTATGGCAGGCTGCTTCTATCACTGTGCCAGACATGGCTGTGGATGGGAACTAATGAACAATCTGACTCTGAACAGCTCTCTAAGCATGAATACACAGGATGCCGTCATCATATTGGGAGGATAAACATCTAATATATGTTTTGGGCTTGGATTGTGGAAGTATCAACAAACAATCAGGCACACATACAGTGTATATTTGGACTAGGCTAATGTATGCGTTTTCTCCCCTATAGACGATGAGAAGACAGAGGACAGAGGTGGTGGTGGAACTCCGCAAGGTAAGCATTCACCTTCTTTCCTTTAATCTATGTCAGACAAGATACAACTGCATTTCAATCAGGTTATGAAAGATGAGTTTAAAGGGATACTTTGGGATTTTGGCATTGAGGCCCTTTATCTACTTCCCCAGAGTCAGATGAACTTGTGGATACCATTTGTATGTCTGTCCTGTCTGAAGGTAGTTTTGCGAGCCAATGCTAACTAGCGTTACCCATAGACTTCCAGTCATTGTGCTATCTGCTAGCATCCCGAAGTGTCCCTTTAAAATGCCTGTTTAATAGTTGAGCCTGTTGCCATGCTGATGCATGTATGTTATGACGGCTGTCTGCTCTCTGCAGAACAAAAGGGACGAGCACCTGCTGAAGAGGAGAAATGTGCCCCACGAGGACATCTGTGAGGACTCTGATGCCGACGGAGACTTCAGATCGGTACGTGGCTCTGTTAAAATACTTTGAAAAAGCATCTTTCCTTCCTTCCTTGGAAGTAATCACTGATGTAATGGCGATTAACAGGGTATTTAGATCTATGGTAAGACTGAGTTCCTAGAACTGTTAGCTAAAAGAGATCCACATGCAGTCCAAATCAAATGGGAGGGGACCTCTTGCTGTTGCAATAAAAGATTAACAAAATAGGATTAATATCAACTGTACTGTTCTTTTACACAAAAAATATATATATATATTTTTGTGATATACAAAGTTTGTCTCCAGACATTGACTTATTTTTCCGAGTCAGGACTGCCTCTTACGGCCTGACTTATTACCCTGAGGTGTGGCCACAGTGCTAACAAACGCATGACGATACCTCTGGCTGTGTTTTGACATAGGCAAAATAAATTGTTCCCTAACCAACTACCTCCTTTTATCTTGCAGCAAAACACCTCTCTTGAAGCAATAGTACAAGTAAGTGCATCTCCCTCTCACACTTCCATGTTTGAAACATTTCTTACAGACACATATTTCCTTCCACTGTATGTGATTCCCTGTGTGCTGTTGTGTTGCAGAATGCCACCAGTGACAACCAGGGAGTTCAGCTGAGTGCCGTGCAGGCTGCAAGGTAGGAACTCTCTCCTCCTACACCCGGCTCTGGTGGTTGCCATGGTGATTCACACTCAAACATGGTTTCAAAAACCATCTCTAGAATGTTGTGGAGTGGCAGGTTCTGGAGCACAGCCCATTAATTATTTAATGGTTTTCGGCTTGCGTGGTAGACTTAGTTCTTTGTCATTGTCGCCGGGTTTGTGTAATTGTTGTGAGATTGCATTGCTATGTCATGTCTGTACTCAACAGCACCGGTGTTGCACAACAACTCAATGTGTACATTTCACGTTCCTTTATTTTATGTGTCTGTGTTTTGAGTGTCTTAAGTGCAAGTATGTGTGAAATAATTGACTTTCTCCCTGCAGGAAGCTGTTGTCTAGTGATCGTAACCCTCCCATAGATGATCTGATCAAGTCTGGCATTCTCCCCATCCTGGTGCACTGTCTGGACAGAGATGACAAGTAAGCAGGGCTTTACTTTGTGTTATAGATACTCTGTGTCTTACATAACACAAGTGGTTGTGACCTAATCATTGCTGCAGTGAATGTAAGCTAAGCATCGCTGCACTGAGAATGGATCTTTTCAGATGATGATGGAACCATGTTGCAATGCAAATGTGTCAGGATTTTCCATAATCAGATGTGAGGATTGTCATAACCACAGACTGTGGAATAACAACCCTTTCCATTTCTTGTTTCATCACTCTGTTTCTCTCTATCCCTCCCCTCTCCACCTTTCTCTTTCTACCTCATCTTACTTCTGCCTCCGTCTCCAGTCCATCTCTACAGTTTGAGGCTGCCTGGGCTTTGACCAACATTGCCTCAGGAACCTCAGAGCAGACCCAGGCAGTGGTCCAGTCCAGTAAGTACCAGCTCACAACCTCAGCGCAACCACTGCCAGCACACTCTGGGGGCTAGGTGGAATTTTCAATCATCATGCCTACCAAGTCTTGGATTTGTTGTTTATCTGACCCTGAAAAGCAGATTATTTGTAGTATTTGGTGATTGAGTTAGCTATTGAAAATGGAGAGTATTTCCTCTCCTGCAGATGCTGTGCCATTGTTCCTGAGGCTGCTGCACTCTCCTCACCAGAACGTGTGTGAACAGGCAGTCTGGGCCCTGGGCAACATCATAGGTGAGTCTGGATCCTTTACTATGTGTCTGGGACACTAACAAGGGAGGCTGATTGTGGGAATGGCTCAGGGATTCTCTGATGTTTGTCTCAAGGCATTATCGGTGAGTGTTTGTGAAACTGTCTGTCTGTTCCTAGGCGACGGCCCCCAGTGCAGGGACTATGTGATCAGTCTGGGCGTGGTGAAGCCCCTGCTGTCCTTCATCAGCCCCTCTATCCCTATCACCTTCCTCCGTAACGTCACCTGGGTCATGGTCAACCTCTGCCGCCACAAGGACCCACCGCCACCAATGGAAACCATCCAGGAGGTAAGAGAGGCAGTGTGTGTGTGCCACATGGGTCATGGTCAATCTGTCCTGGCAAAATGAGCTATGGACACTATCCAGGAGTTACTGGCTCTTGTTAGTTTGTCTATCTGAGTCTCTGGCTGGCTGTCTGTCAGTGTGTTGTTGAATCTGAGCATTATTTACAGTAGTGTACATGGGTGTGTGTGCCCCTGGGATATATAAACTCAGCAAAAAAAGAAACGTCCCTTTTTCAGGACCCTGTCTTTCAAAGATAATTTGTAAAAATCCAAATGACTTCACAGATCTTCATTGTAAAGGGTTTAAACACATGCTTGTTCAATTAACCATAAACAATTAATGAACATGCACCTGTGGAACGGTCGTTAAGACACTAACAGCTTACAGACGGTAGGCAATTAAGGTTACAGTTTTGAAAACATAGGACACGAGGCCTTTCTACTAAAAACACCAAAAGAAAGATGCCCAGGGTCCCTGCTCATCTGCGTGAACGTGCCTTAGGCATGCTGCAAGGAGGCATGAGGACTGCAGATGTGGCCAATACATTTCAATGTCCGTACTGTGAGACGCCTAAGACAGCGCTACAGGGAGACAGGACGGACAGCTGATTGTCCTCGCAGTGGCAGATCACGTGTAACAACACCTGCACAGGATCGGTACATCCGACCATCACACCTGCGGGACAGGTACAGGATTTTATTTTTATTTATTTCACCTTTATTTAACCAGGTAAGCCAGTTGAGAACAAGTTCTCATTTACAACTGCGACCTGGCCAAGACAAAGCAAAGCAGTGCGATTAAAAACAACAACACAGAGTTACATATGGGGTAAAAAACATAAAGTCAAAAATACAACAGAAAATATATATATACAGTGTGTGCAAATGCAGCAAGTTATGGAGGTAAGGCAATAAATAGGCTATAGTGCAAAATAATTACAATAGTATTAACACTGGAATGCTAGATGTGCAAGAGATTATGTGCAAATAGAGATACTGGGGTGCAAAAGAGCAAAATAAATAACAATATAGGGATGAGGTAGTTGGGTGGGCTAATTTCAGATGGGCTGTGTACAGGTGCAGTGATCGGTAAGGTGCTCTGACAACTGATGCTTAAAGTTAGTGAGGGAGATAAGTGTCTCCAGCTTCAGAGATTTTTGCAATTTGTTCCAGTCATTGGCAGCAGAGAACTGGAAGGAATGGCGGCCAAAGGAGGTGTTGGCTTTGGGAATGACCAGTGAGATATACCTGCTGGAGCGCAGACTACGGGTGGGTGCTGCTATGGTGACCAATGAGCTAAGATAAGGCGGGGATTTGCCTAGCAGTGATTTATAGATGGCCTGGAGCTGGCAACAACAACTGCCCGAGTTACACCAGGAACGCACAATCCCTCCATCAGTGCTCAGACTGTCCGCAATAGGCTGAGAGAGGCTGGATTGAGGGCCTGTTGTAAGGCAGGTCCTCACCAGACATCACCGGCAACAACGTCGCCTATGGGCACAAACCCACCGTCGCTGGACCAGACAGGACTGGCAAAAAGTGCTCTTCACTGACGAGTCGCGGTTTTGTCTCACCAGGGGTGATGGTCGGATTTGCGTTTATCATCGAAGGAATGAGTGTTACACCGAGGCCTGTACTCTGGAGCGGGATCGATTTGGAGGTGGAGGGTCCGTCATGGTCTGGGGCGGTGGGTCACAGCATCATCGGACTGAGCTTGTTGTCATTGCAGGCAATCTCAACGCTGTGTGTTACAGGGAAGACATCCTCCTCCCTCATGTGGTACCCTTCCTGCAGGCTCATCCTGACATGACCCTCCAGCATGCCAATGCCACCCGCCATACTGCTCGTTATGTGCATGATTTCCTGCAAGACGGGAATGTCAGTGTTCTGCCATGGCCAGCGATGAGCCCGGATCTCAATCCCATTGAGCACGTCTGGGACATGTTGGATTGGAGGGTGAGGGCTAGGGCCATCCCCCCCCCCCCCCCAGAAATTTCACAGCAAGAACTGGCAAATCGGGTGCAGTCCATGAGGAAGAGATGCACTGCAGTACTTAATGCAGCTGGTGGCCACACCAGATACGGCCTTACTTTTGACCCCCCCCCCCCCCTTTGTTCAGGGACACATTGTTCAATTTGTTAGTCACATGTCTGTGGAACTTGTTCAGTTTATGTCTCAGTTGAATCTTGTTATGTTCATACAAATATTGACACATGTTACGTTTGCTGAAAATAAACGCAGTTGACAGTGAGAGGACATTTCTTTTTTTGCTGAGTTTATATCCATCTGTCTGTCCTCCTGGCTCCTGCTGTACATTCCTATTTCCTCCCAATGCCACTCTCTCCTCATGAGAGAGATGGAGGGATTGATCAGTAGTTGGCTGGTTGTCAGTTGGATGAATGGAGGGAGGGAGAGAGGAGGATTAGTCAGTACCCAGCAGGTGTGCTCCTAAGCTGGGGAAATGAGGGCTGATTTAGTGCTCAGAGCGGCATGTCTGTGGAAGAGGCACCACTGCTGAATAATACTGGACCATGTCTCTAAAATTCCATAAGCCCCTTAGAAAAAAGGCGTGGGAAATTGGGATCCTTAACGCTACGAAGAATCCCTAACCGAAAACAATGTTTTGTCCCCCCCCCACAACATTTAAAATCGCAGTGCATTTATCACAAAACATTATTTTCAGTGTTATAGCCTAACTAGACGATGGGCTATAAATATAAAGGCTCTCCCCTTTGACCACCACCTCACTCAAGCCATGAACTTTCTCAACCTTCAGTCTCTTGTCCATCGATCAACTCATGATGATTAATTGTTTTTTAATTACTTGTTTGTTGCTTTACATGCCTTTTGATATTTCTTTATGTAATGAATAGTGCTATATAAGTTGAATAAATAAAGTTGTGTAATTTAGGTAGACTCAGCGATATGAAGTAGATGCAGAAAGTAAACAGCATAGTGGGTCAATTTTAGCAACAACTAAGAGCGTTGAAGCAACTTCTCCACTGTTTTGGTGCCCTGGCTAACACCCCTGTGAATGGCGTGAAGCCAACCCAAGCAGATACTGTGTGTGACTGACTGTCAGAAAGCGAAGTGTTCCATCTCAATATCCTAGCCTATTCATTGATGATAGGCCCTGCTTTAATGAAGTTGCGAGACATTGCAAGCCCCAAATATTGTGAGATACAGCTTGCCGATAGATGGGCCTAGTGCACGGTTCTGCCTGGTGGCCGACCTGCCTCTACTGTGCCCCTCCCCTCTCTCTCCGTCCCTCGCTAGCTCGCTATGAAAGATGTGAGTGTTTGTTCTCAGAAGTACGGCAACTAATCAGTCTCCACTGTTCCAAAAAATACTGAATCTTAGGAGTCGATTTCCTAGTGGAATCTAATCTTGACACTCGGAAATGGGAGTCAATGCGGGGAGTCAACGTTGAGGAATCAATTATTTTGGAGTTGACTCGCCACCACTACGTCATTGTTAACAGTTGGGAAAATGTCAGAGAAAGGCAAGCGACAGCAGTTAAGTCCTGTATTGCAATACTTTAACAAGTTAAATGAGAAGGAAAGGCCAACTTTACGAGAGGTACAGTAATGGTAGTACAGGTGCAATGCTAACCATCTGAAAGGGACGCTCAAACTGTTGCTGGCTGCAGCACAGCTGCATTGTGAATTTTAATGAATTTTTCTTATTGTTTTAATAGAATTTTAATAAATTGGCCATTTGTCACATCCCTAGTGGGAATATACTGTTCCTGTCATTTTGTTGGCATCTCCCTCATTGACTATCTTGCTCTATCCCTCTTTTTATATCTCAGATTCTTCCAGCTCTCTGTGTGCTGATCCACCACACTGATGTTAATGTGAGTATTCCTAAATCACTGATTGTATCCAGAAAGAGACAACCCAAATAGTAAAAGTTGACATTGATAATATTGATTGCCCTCTTTTAATAACCACAAGCAGATATTGAGATATAATCCATATGTTGATGAATGTGTGAATGTTTTGTTTTTGGGACCTTTGACCCCTGTAGATCCTGGTTGACACAGTGTGGGCTCTGTCCTACCTGACGGACGCTGGCAACGAGCAGATTCAGATGGTCATCGACTCGGGCATCGTGCCCAACCTGGTGCCCCTGCTTAGCCACCAGGAGGTCAAAGTCCAGGTATGGAGACACAGATGCCCGTGGGCCAAAGATCTAGGATCAGCTTAGCCTCCCCAAATCCATCATTAACCACAAAACAGATCAGCATCTAGGAGCAGCTTCACCCTACTCAGTGGGGCTCAGGAAGACCGATGCACACCAAATGCAATGGTTGCTTTTGTAAGGACTGAACTGTTGCCCTACCATAGCTGTTTTTGCAGATGTGATGGAATCAGATGGGTGTGTAAGCAATATGGCGGTGGCTTCTCTATGCTCATCAGAAGGATAGGTAGAGCCATCATATTACTTAACCCTATCAGTTTCCTTCAGGTCTGCAAACACTGAAGGGGGTGGGGCTATGGGTGGTTTTTGGTCAAGTACTTGGAGACCTGTGGACTGCGGTGGTTAGATAAAGTTACGTTGGAGTGGGTAAGGCAGGGGTTAGGAAAAGAGCTCTTGTCCTGAGCTGCAGTGTTTTGACCTGAGACGGATTCCTGTCTGGCCAGGTGGGGCTGTTGGGTGTGTGTGTAAGCCAGTTACTATGGTGCAGTAGGTAAGCTGACCCTAGAGATGATACTGCTCAGGACTTGAATGGGTCTTACTCTTGGCCCTGATGCCTTGTCTGTTGCTTACTGTGCTGATATTCATACTCAGTCATTCTTTGGGTGGTGGTTCTATTTATTGGTTGGTTTGCTTACTTTAGTTAGTTGCATGAATGTTCGTTGATGCTTGGAGTTGTTTGTATTGACTGCTATGTGGAACTTGGTGTGTGTCTCTAGACGGCTGCGCTGCGGGCGGTGGGCAACATAGTGACTGGAACAGATGAACAGACCCAGGTGGTGCTCAACTGTGACGCCCTGGGACACTTCTCCTCTCTCCTCACACACCCCAAGGAGAAGATCAACAAGGTAACACACACACACGGTAAAACATACACTCCGCACCGCTTCACCTTGCCACAGCACAGCAGGTGTCAGTGTGACTGATCATGCTAGAAGTGATGATATCAGAGACATGGTGCTAGTGTGAATGCTGTATGAATCACAGTGAATGGGGATATAACTATTAGTTAGGTACTCGCATCATGGAAGAGCCGGATCAAGAAGACTTCAAGGAGCTGATGGAAATTGCAGTTTGAGTAGATTTTGGGTGGTCTGGGGCAGTGGGTAGAGTGTGAGATGTGAGTGCGTGTGTGTGTAGTATTTATGGGTGGAGGATAGTGGGCGCTGAAGACCCATGGGTCTCTGCTGATATCGGAGTACATCTGAGGCCTGTCACTCAAACAGAGGTCCCTCCCTCAGTGACTGAGCCAATGATTAGGGCCTCACGACCGCCCCTGCCCCGCCCCCAGCACCCCATCTCGACCAGGGGCCTCCGCTCTGAGCAGGCCCCTGGAGTCTGATCTAGCTTAGTCCACACACCTTTGAATTCCACGTGGGAACTTCTCACTATTTCTGCAGTCCTCCTGACACACGTGCACACACACTGACTGCTTATTCAGTCTCTGTAAGCCCTGCCTCTATCACACAACACTTGGAGTAGTTGCAGACTGAGTGCTGTTTCTTCTCCCGTCCTGCAGGAGGCAGTGTGGTTCCTGTCCAACATCACAGCAGGCAACCAGCAGCAGGTGCAGGCCGTCATCGACGCCAACCTGGTACCCATGATCATCCACCTTCTGGACAAGGTCTGTTTCATCACTGTCACTGCTTCATTCATCAGTTCATCAGAGATTTCTCATGCACAAAATGAAGCAGTAATGAGTATCATATTGTTGAAATATTAATTGAAATGTTTTTGCAGGGAGACTTTGGAACACAGAAAGAAGCAGCCTGGGCCATCAGCAACCTGACAATTAGCGGGAGGAAGGACCAGGTGAGCTCAACTGAGTCCTACCCACTTTACCACATATACCTCACATCCATCCATACACTCAAATTCCCACTGTTTTGTAAGCTGACCCTTCTCCTCCGGTCCTGTAGGTGGCATACCTGATCCAGCAGCAGGTGATCCCTCCCTTCTGTAACCTGCTGACAGTGAAGGATGCTCAGGTGGTGCAGGTGGTCCTGGACGGCCTCAGCAACATCCTCAAGATGGCCGACGACGAGGCCGAGACCATCGCCAACCTCATCGAGGAGTGTGGAGGTGAGAGCCCAGCCCACTGTTACCTAAAACATAATTGTTCCTATCTACTATTTATGTTGAAGTATAGTGATTGTATCTCAGTGGCTGTGTAGATTTGACTGCTGAACCATCTCTCTCTCTTCCCCACCCCTCAGGTCTGGAGAAGGTGGAGCAGCTCCAGAATCATGAGAATGAAGACATCTATAAACTGGCCTATGAAATTATTGATCAGTTCTTCTCATCTGATGATGTAAGTCAGTTCTCTAATATGGTCATGTCTTGGTTGGGGAAGGTACTGCATACTACATTGTGTGGAATGTCTTATTTGTATAGATGATTGACTTGTTATTGTCTCATGTTCAGATTGATGAAGACTCCAGCCTGGTTCCGGAGGCGATCCAGGGGGGAACGTACGGCTTCAACTCCTCCACCAACGTGCCAGCAGAGGGGTTCCAGTTCTAGAAGGCATCTCGGGAGTCTGGAGTTTTGTTCGCGATGCAGCACTCTGTTCAACATAAAACAAATTAGGAGAGAAAGAGAGCGAAAGAGTGTGAGAGAAATTAGATCCATTGTGCTTGGCTCGTGGGATCCGTGGCTGCATCTTATCTGAGAAAATGTGTGGATTTCGTTTGGCATTCCGGGGGAACCAGCCCAAATGAAGTTTGAGATGGCGAGTGGGTGCGAGTGAGTGAGTGGCAAAATGTGTTGTAAAAAAACAAACATCTACATCGAATGCGTTGAGACATGCCAAGTATTGGAGCTGTCGACTAAAACGGAAAACTACTACAATGACAACAAAAATGCGGCGTCAGCCCGGGGAGAATCAAAATCAAGAAATTGAGGCAACAAATCACAAAAACACAAAAGGAAAACCAACAAAACAAGCGTAAGATGAACCATATGACAATTCTGCGGTCCTCCGACCGGAGGGGGCGCCACTTCCTGTGCGCCCATCCCCCAATCGGCCACGCCATCAGACGTGTGTGTGAATGGACCCTTTGTGTATGAATGTCTGGACTCAGTGCTGAGGAGCCAGGTTCATCTCCTCCAACCGGAGGCCCTCGATGGGGCGTCTCCCCCCCCTCCCCCCGCGGCGGTGGGCAGGGCCAGAGTCCAGCTGCGCGTGTGCGAGAGAATGGACAAGTGGCGTGTGTGCGCGTGCGTGTCTGGAGTGTGCAAGAAGACTGGATGTGAACGCATGCAGAGAGAGCGAAAAGATACATAACATAAGAGTAACAAAACCGAGAAGCGCAAACTAAGGAAAATACAAGAAGAAATTCTGCCTTCTAAAGAGGCAGATACAAATCCCTGAACGGAAGAACTTTGGAAATGAAAAAATAAATAAGACATCATCACAAAGGTTTTGTTTGTTTTAACTGTTATTAAGTTAGTATTAATTGACACTGGACAATGCTATTGGCAGGTGGAGCAGTGGGTGCATTGTATTCAGATGCATTTGGTGGCTTTTGGACTTTTCTTTTTGCATCCAGTGTGTACTATTTTTATTTTCTGCTTTTACTTTCATTGCTTATGTAAGGTGATCAGGATCATATTCCACCTTCCCACAATAACCATACCTTTGCACCAGATATGGGTTTGATGCTGTGAAATTCTGACATCATCACTATTGTCAACCAAATGACTTGTATACTCCCCTAGCATGATTTAATGTTTTTTCTTTCTCTTGGAGCAAAAATCACTGCTTTGCAGTATTGTAGCCATAGCTTTGACTTATCACAAGGGGTAATGAAAAATGGCAGTTATGTAACTTCGATTCATAACCTTTGCATGTACTAAACTATAGCACAGTTAATTTTAGTTTTTTTTTAGTTTCTTTAGGCTGTGTACACAGTGTAATATTTATTTTTTTGTAAACTGTGCTGTTTAAATGTTACATGTCTCCCCCTCCCTTACTGACTTAAGTTTCTGATTTGAAGATTTAATCTGAACAGTTTTGCACATGTACTGCAGAGTGAGAGGCCTGAAGTCGTTCAAAAGGTGTGGTTAGACTATCAAATCAGACCTGCCAACACCTTCAACAATATGTGTCATCCAACCACAATCTTTGTTTTGTATTCAGTTGTAGCCATGATCAACTCATGTTGAGCCATTTTAGGGAATTAGAATTAGATTTTATTTTTTTAGGAGGGGCAATAATTGTTCTGCCTCGGATGTTGAGGCACCCCTGAGTTTGGGAAAGGTAAGTATCGGGGATTGGACCCCCTAGCCTCGACAAGGTGTCTCAATGATACATGTTGTACCTCCCAAACCCTTGCTCCTGCCCCCTCTTTTCCATTTAGGTGCTCAATCTTACCCCATTTTTCTGTGTTAATTTCAAAAACACTAGAAATTGATTACACTTTGTGGTCATAACCTTCTGTTGAACATAGTTTTATTTTTTTTGCAGCAGCAGCATTCCTTGTTAGCAAAGATGTGGTTTCAAATGTAACAAATGAAATGGAAGAAAAGGTGGTTAACCTGTTGAGTTGGATCTACAGGATAGGTTGTCTTCAAGAAATAAATAGTGAAACCCACAGGTATGGTCTGTTTGTCTTCTGTTGCCTCTGGTTTCATTTAGGATCAGATCTGTCATTTGCAGTATTTCAATATCTTTGTCAAACATAACGTCCTTGTCCGCGATGCAGTGCTATGGTGAAAGAAGTTGTGCATTAGTGTATATATTTTATACTGAGTACCTTTTTCTTTCTTTACTACATATACAAACGTACATCCAAACATCTCTGCCCAGACCCGCATGCTCACACCCCCATCCCTAAGGCCTGCATTAGTTTGCCACTTGCCCATAAATTGTATAAATTTGTATTTCTCGGTCGCCCATGCTATTTCAATAAATCATTAGATTTTTCCATTGTGTTAATGATGGCGCGGAATGATTGATTTCTAAAATTGGTGTACGTTTTTTCAAGATGAGTGTTGAGAAGAGAATCGTCCAGCCATTGGGTATATCAATACACCACCATCGGCGGTTAATTTGTAACAGTGCGCTTGATTTACATTTCTTATAGGCAGGCACATGATTGGGAAAGGCCTGTTGTAATTCGCATGCGCACTGAGATACTATAGTCAGGAACCAGAACGAGAGTAAGAGGATATTCCGCACGTATCCGGGCATCGGTGAGTGTTTTGAAAATAACCACACACTGTACTTCGTGAAATTAAAAAGCTAGGCTTTTCAGTCGTATCTATCATAAAGTTTGAAAGGGTTTGAGTTTGTGATAAAAAATGCGCAGTAGCCTCGTTGAAATGCATCCCAAATAACCAGCTGTGGTGTGAATGTGTCAGGCAGATAGTGGCATCGCAGTTTACTTCCAAAAGCGAAAACTTAGGGCAGCTTTGCAGGGTTTTTAAAGTGTCTTCAGGCTTTTGTTAATTGAGTAAGCTTATTTATGCCAGAAATATGAGTGTGAACGAAGTCTGTTATAGGCTACTATGTTACAAGCTATGTCTATTGTTGTACATTGTCAAGAGTGCCGCACAAATAGGAAGGTTAAAAAAAACACTTGTAGCCTAAATTTCGTGATAAATCCAAATTAATCTCAAAACACCTTTTTAAGCGAAATATCATTCTAGACCTGGTCAGACCGCTAACTGTTATGATCATGTTATTATTTCAGCAAGAATAGTGTCACTCAGGTGTTGGGGTGCATCACGTGAACATATACCTGTCTGCAATTTAACCTGAGGTGCCAAATGAACAAACTGCTATTGTACAGTTAGTTTAGTGCAGCCTGCCACCAAAATGAGTGGGCTCTTGCAAACCCCCACATTATCTACACTACCGTTCAAAAGTTTGGGGTCACTTAGAAATGTCCTTGTTTTGTCCATTAAAATAATATAGAATTGATCAGAAATAGAGTGTAGACATTGTTAATGTTGTAAATGGCTATTGTAGCTGGAAACGGCAGATTTTTAATGGAACTGGCAGCTTCATTAAATAGTACCCGCAAAACACCAGTCTCAACGTCAACAGTGAAGAGGCGACTCCTGGATGCTGACCTAGGCAGAGTTGCAAAGAAAAAGTCCAGTGTTCTTTTGCCCATCTTAATCTTTTCTTTTTATTGGCCAGTCTGAGATATGGCTTTTTCTTTGCAACTCTGCCTAGGTCAGCATCCCGGAGTCGCCTCTTCACTGTTGACGTTGAGACTGGTGTTTTGCGGGTACTATTTAATGAAGCTGCCAGTTGAGGACCTGTGAGGCGTCTGTTTCTCAAACTAGACACTGTAATGTATTCGTCTTCTTGCTCAGTTGTGCACCGGGGCCTCCCACTCCTCTTTCTATTCTGGTTAGAGCCAGTTTGCGCTGTTCTGTGAAGGGAGTAGTACACAGCGTTGTATGAGATCTTCAGTTTCTTGGCAATTTCTCGCATGGAATAGCCTTCATTTCTCAGAACAAGAATAGACTGACAAGTTTCAGAAGGAAGTTCTTTGTTTCTGGCCATTTTGAGCCTGTAATCGAACCCACAATTGCTGATGCTCCAGATACTCAACTAGTCTCAAGGCGGCCAGTTTTATTGCTTCTTTAATCAAACTGTGCTAACATAATTGCAAAAGGGTTTTCTAATGATCAGTTAGCCTTTTTGGATTAGCAAACACAACGTGCCATTGGAACACAGGACTGATGGTTGTTGATAAGGGCCTCTGTACGCCTATGTAGATATTCCATTAAAAATCAGCCGTTCCCAGCTACAATAGCCATTTACAACATTAACAGTGTCTACACTGTATTTCTGATGAATTTGATGTTATTTTAATGGACCATTTTTTTTTTCTTTTCTTTTGAAAACAAGGACATTTCTAAGTGACCCCAAACCTTTGAATGGTAGTGTATGTAATACAGTACTAGTAATCTTGATCTCTGGTAGTTGGAGCTTTTAGTGTTTCCTAGACTTATTTGTTCTGTTACATTTCTGGCAATTGCACTACACTGTAGCCAAACCGACTACATTATACTGTAGTTGGGCAACCTGTCCCAGGAAAACCATTCTTTAGTCATTATGTAACCAGGGCCGGCTTAAGGCATAAGCGACATAAGCCGATCGCTTAGGGACCCTGTTTTTTAGAAACTCAGTCAGGTTCTCAACTTACTGTTGAGTTAGAATAGTTCCAAATTTGGTTTTGAATCAGCAGTTTTTAAATTGTTTTGTCAGTCACTGACAGTCACTCAATAAGACAAGCAGCTAACAATTTTTTGATTGGTTAATTAGTCTAGCCAGTTATCTAAACTTGTAGAAATCCTGGCCGAATACCGACCGGGCACGCAGGACACATGCCCAGGGGCCCTGACCTACAGGGGGCCCCCATTGACTTAGCCACTCTCACTCAGATATCAGGGCATAAGTCATGGCAAAATGTGTAAAATTGCAGGAAATTAGCTGTAAAACTGCAAAAATGTATATCCACCCCATGGCAAAATGGAAAGAATTGCAGGAAATTAGCTTTAAAACTGCAAAAATTCTCTGCCCCATTGCAAACCGAGTAGAATTGCATGACATTTATTATACAATTGCTACATTTTCTCTCTGCCCCATGGCAAATGTGTAGAACTGCAGGAAATTAACTTTAAAGTGTAAATTTCTCTCTGCTGTCAAGAGGGTGCCACTATTTTTTGTTAGTGGTGGGGGCCCAACCAAATCTCGTTTAGGACTCCCAACCGGCCCTCTATGTAACACTATTACACTAACCATATTGCATCCCTATTTGAATTAATTATTGTACTGAAACAATTCTCATGTGGGTCTGTGTTGTTCATCTCAGTCAACCAACCTTATTCGTTATGTATTCAGCGAGCAATGTGCAAGTGGCAATAATTGTAGTGCCCGACAAACCTATACATGGGTTAGACTGAGACAGTAGAAACTGCTGATCATCCGGTCAGACTGAAATAGCTTCTAGCGGTGAGGTGGGAGTCATCCGGTGTGAAGTCGTCATCCCCTGCTGTCCAGGTTTGGAGGTACTGGTTTGGCACTTTCATTTTAATATGCTAGTAGGCCACAGAACTACCAACCACTAAACTTTGCAGGTTGTCATGAAGCGACTCCACCTGTTGATGAATCATTATAATGAACCAAACACTCATCACCAACAATTAGATTGCAAATATTAAGCCAAGTGGTTCTTGGAGTCTTTGTCAGGACAACTCAAACCTTTGAACTTCACTCTTGATTTATAATACTCAAGTGTTGTCCGCTCCTCCAATTACAGGCTAAACGATGCATTGAATTGCAAGAGCAGAAACAAGCCAGGTACGCAGAGCCTCATTGTCCCATCACCCCACCGCAGCATGGAGAACCTAGAGGAGGACCTGACATGTTCAGTGTGCTATTCCCTCTTTGCTGATCCTCGGGTTCTGCCCTGCTCCCACACCTTCTGTAAATCCTGCTTGGACAACGTACTCCAAGTCTCTGCCGTCTACTCCATCTGGCGTCCACTGCGGCTCCCACTTAAGTGCCCCAACTGCCGCAGTGTGGTAGAGCTCCCACCAACAGGTGTTGACGCATTGCCCATAAATGTCTCCCTCCGCGCCATCATTGAGAAGGTAACCATTTGTTTAATACGTTTTTATTTGGTCTTAGGTCATTGTCACATCGGGGCATATCTTTATAGTTACAGTATAATGAAGTGGTATATCATCTATTTTATTCCCATCTTTACCTGTCAGTTCCAGAAGAACAGCCAACCACGGCCCCCCCTCCTGCCCTGAGCACCACCGACAGCCCCTCAACGTCTACTGTGTCCAGGACCGCCAGCTCATCTGTGGCTTCTGCCTAACAGTGGGCCAGCACCAGGGACACCCCATCGATGACCTGCAGGCAGCCTTCATCAGGGAGAGGCAGGTGCCCGCTCACCTGCTGGGGAGGCTCTCAGACCACCGCCTGGCAGAGGTGATTTATCAGTTTATTTACCAGTAATAATGGATTTAATGCATTTGACCAACTTCTGGTTAGATTATGTGAAGTGTTATTTCCTGAAGGTGTGTAAGCTGGGGGAGCAGCTGAAGCAGGAGAAGGCCAGCTGTGAGGGCCTAGTGAGGCAGGACCGGCAGGCCGTGGAACAGTACTTCCAGGGACTGGAGCTGGTGCTTTCCAGGAAGAAAGAGGCTTTCATGGGGGCCCTGGACACAGCAAGCGTGGAGGTGTCTCTGGCCTACGATCCACTCATCCAGAGGCTGAAGGAGCTGCAGGTAAGGATAGCCTGGGTCGGTGTTGTCATGACATTACTTCCTCACCTTTGATTGTATATTATGGTGCCACCCTTCCCCACAGGAGGAGCAGCTGGACCTGTTGTCTCTGGGTTCGGCCGTGGAGGACGAAGACTCTCCCCTGGTCTTCCTGGAGAAGGTGTACCTGTTCCGGGAGAGGGTGGAGGCACTGGTAAATGCACCCCTGCCCAGAGTCATATCCCTCTCCATCACCCCCCGTGCTGCTGAGTACCTGGAGCAGCACTGGGCTGGTGTGACCATCGGAGAGCTGGAGGAAGGGCCGGTGCCTCAGTTCTTCTGCTGTGCAAAGCCCACCCATTCTGGGGACGGTTCTTAGGACAGAGGCAGGGAGTCACCCTGGAGGCTGGGTCCAGGATCTGTTGCTGCAGCCCACTCCCCCTGTGGTGCTTCTGGGGCTGCTGCTGCTCCTGAATCCTGTTGGGGGAGCATCTCTGGGCTTCTCCCTGCTGTCCCATCTCAGTCAGATGGTGCACGACCTAAGCAGTGAACTGACCGCCTCACTATGGGAGACAGCAGGCTTCCTGTACGCACAGACAGTGGAGGTGGTGTGGCGGTGCAGCTCTGCCTTCTCCACACTGGGGGAGAACACCTACCAGCAGCTGGCATCCCTCTACAAGACCCTCAGCTCCTGACAGAAAGACACATGGGTCTTCACTTCAGGAAGGACCCCAGCACCTGGTGATGTAAGGTCTTAATGTCACACTCCTTTGGTTTGGGATTAATGCTAACTGTGCCTAGTGATTGGAACTTCTCTGATGCAGCAGGATACAGTTGACAGAAAACAGGCGTTACTTCTGGAACTAACCCTGACCCCAGCTAAAGCGCATCACAGGAAGATACTGCCTCATGTACCACAAAGTGAAAAACAAACTTTTCACAAATCCTGAAATGCATTCAGCAGATTGGAAGCTGTTATATTCAACAATAAGCCATAAAAGGTACAATTTTCATAACCTTATGCACAACTTTTTCAAAGACATTCTATAGCTCTACATGCAGTATACTGTAATACATAATACTATAGGACTGTTGCATTTAACTCCAGCTATTTAACCTTCACCAGAAAAGCCTTCTGTTAAATCAAGTATGGATTTTCTATAAGTCAACTACAATGTATGTGTGCTTCGAACACACCGACTGCGTTGTTGGGTTTTGGTACACCAGAAGTACATTCATTTCCAATGGAACGCTGCGTTTGCCTTGCAGCATTGCGTTCTGTGTGGTGCATACGTTGGATTTATCGAACGTATGCGTAAACGGGTTGACAGAAATGGTAGCAGAAGGTGTATGTTGAACTTTTGTTTCACACATATCTAGATTATGTTCAAAGCGTTACAATAATCTTGTGATACCTGTCGGAATTAAATTAATGGGAAGACAGGTTAAGTCTCCATCTCAGGATGAGTGGATTGAGTGTTGCTCCAGAGATATCCCAATTGTTGTGCATTAGCACTTGTATCTTGTGAGGAAGTGGTTCAGTAGGTGTGTTGCATAAACAGTTAACCAGTGCTGTCAATGAGGCATGAAATCTATATAAATGATCTCTCAGTTCCTCACTGATGGAACATATAGCTAGTCTTCAGGGTTTTTTTACCTAAAAGATGGAAGACCTACAGCTCATTGTGCTAGAACCTCCGCACAAGTCTTCCAGGGCAACATGTCCCATTTAGGGTTACAGAATATTTTACTAATGAGTGAAGTTATAGTAATCAAAGTATTCAAAGACCAGTGAAAATATTTATTAGCTTCATCAGTAAAAAAGATAGAAGTGTGATGACAGAAGAATAGGTTAAAGTCATGGTTATATATACATTGTGTGAAAGAACAGTAAACTGGAAAGAGAGACTATTTCTACATCTTACTAGGAGTGGCTAACATGCTGACCAGACCGCGCGTGCGTCAGCGTGCGCATGTAAAAAAAAAAAAGAATCCTCCCACACCAGACACAATCACGACACGCAGGTTGAAATATCAAAACGAACTCAACCAACTATATTAACTTGGACAGGTCGAAAAGCATTAAACATTTATGGCAATTTAGCTAGCTAATTTGTCCTGGGATATAAACATTGGGTTGTTATTTTACCTGAAATGCACAAGGTCCTCTACTCCAACAATTAATCCACAGATAACGGTAAACCAAGTTCAGGCTTCTTCTTCTTCTTCTTTGGACTTTATATGTCGGTTGGCAACAAACTTTAAGATGCATTACCAACTGGACTGGAGTGTGGACCTCAGTTCATCTTTCAATCACCCACGTGGGTATATACTCCTAAAAACCAATAAGGAGAGGCAGGACTTGCAGCGCGTCGAGCGTCACAAATTGAACCAAGTTCTATTTTAGTGCCTGGCCACGCAGACTCTCACGAGCAGTGTGGGTGCAATGATTCAGCATGTAATGGGGAAACCAGAGTCACTGCTGTTCTAAGCTGAGATTGGCTCTTTGAAGACAATGGTTTTAGGGTTGATTCCCACGCTCTTGGTGGTGTTGTGGGTTTTGTAGATGCCGATTAGACGGTCAGCGATCTCAAACATGTTATTCCTCAGGGAGATGATGATGAACTGAGCGTTCTTAGTTTGCTCCTGTAGGGAAATAAATGAACATTCAATCACCAATGGGAAGTCAAAGGCTGTAAATCTCAAGTATCATGTTTTTCCTGTGCTTATGTGAGTCAAACTCTTTTAAACAGTGTCCTGGGAAGAATTAACCACCAAACGCCTAGACGAGAAAACAATGGACCAACATGCTGACAGAGGGCTTTGCAAAACCAGTGATTTCTCAGAATAGGCTGTACACCTTACCATAGCGCCTCCAATAATCTCCCATTACTAACGATTAACACAGATGAGCTGACCCCATGTCCCTTACTGAGTCAACAACAAGCACAGCAGCATAGAATTAGGAGTAGAATGGCAATTACTATTCAAAGCTGTTCCATGTGGAATAGAGTTCCCATGAACTGCTGTGTGTGCATGCAAGCATGTGAAATACTCACATAAATGTAACAGGCCACGATGGAGACATTCTTGAAGTCCAGGGCTGCATCAATCTCATCCATGAAGTAGAGGGGCGTGGGCTTAAAGTGGTGCAGAGCAAACACCAGGGCCAGAGAGCTCAGGGTCTTCTCTCCTCCAGACAGGTTGAAGATCTTCTTCCAGCTCTTCTTAGGGGGACGCACACTGTGACCATGGACAGAGAAGAGGATGAGCAAGAGTCATTCAAAGATTTAATGAGTAAAACAATGAAATTAGGAGAAAGGGGATACTGGGTTGGGACTCGGTACATTTTGATGTACAAATAAGTTAAAAAATAAAATAATTCACAAATTATTGAAAGACCTATCCAGAGCTGTGTTCACAAATCATAGATACAAACATGTCAAAAAACAGCCGGCTGGGCCAGTGTCTGCTGACCTGAACATGATGCCCTCAGAGAAGGGGTCCAGGCTGTCGACTAGCTCCAGCTCAGCATCACCCCCTAGTGTCAGCATCTGGTAGTTCTCCTTTAGCTTGTTGGTGATGATGTTGAAGCCAGCCATGAACTCATTGAGCCTCTGCTTGCGCAGGTCCTCACAGCCGCGCTTGAAGTTGTCTCTCTCTGTGGTGATCTCATCCAGCTCAGCTACACGCTTCAGGTACAGTTCCTCCTACAGAGACATGACCCACAATGATTACCTTCTCTTAGAGAGAAAGAAACTTGAGAGAGAGCAGATAAGAGTAAAAACAGGGTGTTGAGGTGCTTGGTTAGACCTAGAGAGAGTGCTGGGTGTGTACCTTCTTCTTGTACTCTGCGATGGCTCCCAGGTTGGGCTTCATCTGGGCACAGCGGGCCTCCAGCAGGGAGATCTGGTTGGTGGTGATGTCAGGCCCCTTGATGGCCGCCAGGTCAGCAGGGGTCAGCACGGGCAGCGCTTCCACTGGTTTGCCCTCAATGGCGTGAAGGGAGAGCTTAGAGGCCTGGGGATGACAGGACACGGATGGTCAGTCCTAACTCTGACTTTGCTAATAGCTACTTTAAAAGGAAAATGTACTTACTATGACTGATATGTGGTTGTCCCACCTAGCTATCTTAAGATGAATGGACCAACTAAGTCGCTCTGGATAAGAGCATCTGCTAAAAATGACTAAAATGTAAATAGCAGAAGAGAGGAAAAATATATAAAAGTCTGTCAGATGATGATACTGTTCCTCAGCTAATGCATAGAACAGTGATGCACTGCAACTAGCAGACTGTTTGGAAGACCTCTAGACACACCAAACCAACAGGGTAACAACAAAGCATGCGTGAATCTCACATGCACACAAAGCCCTGCCACCCACCTCTCGCTGCCAGTGTTTGATCTTGTTGGTGTGTTCGGTGATGGAGGTCTCTATCTGCTCCACCCGGAGGCGGACGCTGAGGGACTCCTCCTGCAGAGCGTGTTCCTGCTCCTGTAGGGCCTTGATCTCCCTCACCACCCCCTGGTGCTGCTCCTGCACCTCTGGCAGTGCTGCCTCAGCCTCCTGGCAGGCCTTCATGATCTCCCCAGCCTCCTCCTCCAGCCTCTTCAGATGATCCGTCAGCTCTTCCAGACTCTTCTCATTCTCCTCCAGCTCTCCCTCCAGGCGACTCACACCCTCTTCACACTTCTTCAGGTTACTGTGGGGAGGGAGGGGCGCATCAGCCATTAGGGAAAAGCTCAGATAAGCCCCAGCTAATAGCTTCACAACCAGAAGCCTTTGCCAGATGGGAGCTGAATATGTGTGTGTGTGTGCGCACGTGTATAAACACTTACCGCCCTGCGGTCTTGATGGCCACCTGAGCCTTGGTGATGGCTGAGGAGCAGTCGTCCAGCTCCTTGTTGACTTTGTCCAGTTTGTCCTGCTGGGCCTTCAGCTTATGGCTATTGATATCCACGATGAGGGTGTGGAGCCTCTTCACCTCAGCCTCCACCTTCCCTGCCTTACTGGAGGCTGCCTCAAAGTCTGACAGAGTGAGAGGAGGGAAAGAGAGAGAGGAGGGAAAGAGAGAGAGGAGGGAAAGAGAGAGAGGAGGGAAAGAGAGAGAGGAGGGAAAGAGAGAGAGGAGGGAAAGTGAGAGAGGAGGGAAAGAGAGAGAGGAGGGAAAGAGAGAGAGGAGGGAAAGAGAGAGAGGAGGGAAAGTGAGAGAGGAGGGAAAGTGAGAGAGGAGGGAAAGAGAGAGAGGAGGGAAAGAGAGAGAGGAGGGAAAGAGAGAGAGGAGGGAAAGTGAGAGTACAGACTCGGTGAGCATAGCCTTGCTACTGAGAAAGGCCGCCGTAGGCAGACCTGGCTCTCAAGAGAAGACAGGCTATGTGCACACTGCCCACAAAATGAGGTGGAAACGGAGCTGCACTTCCTAACCTCTTGCCAAATCTATGACCATATTAGAGACAAATATTTCCCTCAGATTACACAGACCCACAAAAAATTTGAAAACTAATCCAATTTTGATAAACTCCCATATCTATTGGATGAAATACCACAGTGTGTAATCACAGCAGAAATATTTGTGACCTGTTGCCACAAGAAAAGGGCAACCAGTGAAGAACAAACACCATTGTAAATACAACTCATATTTATGTTTATTTCCTTTCCCTTTTGTACTTTAACTAATTTGCACATAACATTTGAA